TTCTGCATCGCACGGCATCGTTGCCAGTATGCAGCGGTGAGCCAAGAGGCGCAGGCGGGCTCGGAGCACATCACATTTGCCCCATAGAAATTTCGGCGCGAGGCCTCTGACACCGAAGCGCCGCTGGTGGCTAGCCTTTAAGGATCGCCCAAAGATCGCATGGGACAGTTCTGAGTTACTGCCTTTCAGGAGAGCCAGAGTGAAGCCCTGCATGCGTCTCACCCAGCCAGCCGCACAATTTTGTGAAGAATTGTCTGTAGTTTTTCCTAGATAGATCAAGGTAAGCGGTTGCAGACAAGCTAGCACATGAACCACAACCAGAACAAAGGTCAAGGCTAGCCATGTGAGATTGTGGCTTGACACAAAGATGTCCGCGCGATCTTGCATGACCCAGCCGACAGCGGCCGAGGCCAGCGTTTGCCCAGTGCCAAAGCTAGGCGTCACAGTGTGAGTACTTAGACTGCAACGGGGCGGGTGGGATTATGTTGTGGCGTGAAACGTGTTTTTGCGTTTTAGCCTAAACAACCTTTCCTGTCACGACTCAATCTCAAGAGCAGGAACCTGTGGCATGATCATCTCAACGCATGTTTAAGCTATGGCATCATTTGAGCATCAACCTCAGTTTGAAGAACGCATGCAGCTTGTGGAGTCATCAGCTAAGCATGCCAACACTTACACGCCCAAATACAATAAACGCAAACACAGACAGATAATCAAACACAGACCTACACACGCACACGCGCACGCGCACGCACACGCACATGCACAAGCACGAGAGAACAAGCACAAGAGCACAGAAGCGCGCACACACACACGCACACAAGATCACAAGCGCACAAGCGCACAAGCGCAAACACACGAACACACACACACACACAAACTCACAAACACAAGCACAAGCACAAGCAACACACAAACACAAGCCCAAACACAAAGACACAAACAGAACATTAACAAACACACGCAAACACTATAACACAAAAACCAACACACACACACACATGCACAAAAAGCAGACAAACCCACACATAAACCCACCCATACACACGCCCAAACACAAACACAAACACACCCTCAAACACAAGCACACAACAACACACACAAGAACAACACAAGCGCAACACAAGCACAAAGCAAAAGCACAACACGCAAAGACAACACACCGACACACACACACACAGGCACACGCACGCGCGCACACGCACAAGCACACGCACAAACACACACACACACACACACACACGAACACGCAAACACAGCAGACACACCAGCACACACATACAAACACACACTTGAACTCCAAATGGAGAGTGCTAATCTTTCGAGTACAACTGATGAGTCTCGAGTACAACTGATGAGTCTCGAGTACAACTGATGAGTCTCGAGTGGATTCGGCTTGCAGTCACTTGGCTTCCGTCTAGCAGCGAACACGTTACCCGAAAGAACAAGAAGCACAAACAGCGCCGCAACCAAGGGGCCAAATAGACATTCAGAATCACTGATGCAGGTACAAGATGAACCACTTTTTCGGGGGAGAAAAAACCACGCGCCCCAAAACCGGGCGAAGACCCCAACAGAAAACAAACGGAGCAAGGGAGCCCAAAAGAAACAGAAAGGCCCCAAGTTGGGTCTCCGCGGGCAAAACCCCAAACAAGAAGCAAGAAGAACGGGGAAGTCAGGTTTCGGGTCTCCGAGGGCAACAACCCCAAACAGCGCAAAAACGACCTAGACCTTGTAGACGAAAGGGGCCGCGAAGGCAAAGAGGCAGAAGAGGAACAGGCCATCCCTAACCGGGCGAACAGGAAGTACAAGAGATAGCCCAGAGAGGGAAAGAAAAAGAAAGGAAAGAAAAGAAAGGGACGAAAGAGAGAAAGAAAAAGAGAGAGAGAGAGAGACAGACACAGAAAGAGAGAGAGAAAGAGAGAGAGAGAGACACAGAAGCGTATTTAGGGCGTCGCAACCGCCCGGGGGAAAAAGAAAGGAGCAGGGTGCGTATTTAGGGCGCCGCATCCCGCCCGGGAAGAAGGAACAAGAAGCAGAAGGCAAAGAGACAAAAAGGATAAAAGAAGGAAGAAGGAAGAAGGAAGAAGGAAGAGGAAGAGGGAAGTAGTAGTATGCGTTTTTAGGGCGACGCATCCCGCCCAGACAGGAACAGAGGATGAAGACCAAGGCTCGCGGAGAAAGACGTCGAATCCCACACAGGGGCCAAGAGGACGGACCCGAAGTAGCAACGGAAGGTGAAGAAGACGTCAAGCCAAACTACGTGAGGAAGAAGAGGAGTAGGAACAGGAAGACAGACGCGAAGACGAAGACGAGGAAAAAGGTGAACAACGCGAGGACAACCAGGCCATCCCTAAGCGGGCGAACAGGAGCGGGACGAACGCGCGGGTCACGAAAGGCGGCAAAAAGGGAACGGGAGGAAGGAGAAGCCGTCCCTAAGCGGGCGAAGGACCAGAAGACGGGCACGCGGAAGAAGAAGGCGAGAAAAAAGGGGGAAACGTAGTAGGGTGAGACATCGCTATGGTCTGACCGCTGTCTTCCCTTTAGTGAAACCTCGTTCCTGGTTAAATGTGAAATTCCGCCGTTCTATGATCAGCACGTTGAGGTCGAATTTTCCGACAGAGCCGGCCCGGGGTCGCACAATGGGTACACCCGAGGATTCCCCACGAATGGGGTGTACACACTTGAACTCCAAATGGAGAGTGCTAATCTTTCGAGTACAACTGATGAGTCTCGAGCACAACTGATGAGTCTCGAGTGGATTCGGCTTGCAGTCACTTGGCTTCCGTCTAGCAGCGAACACGTTACCCGAAAGAGCAAGAAGCACAAACAGCGCCGCAACCAAGGGGCCAAATAGACATTCAGAATCACTGATGCAGGTACATCTCCTCCACCCGATTTCCGTAGCTTCGTTGGCACGGCTTGGAAATCAGGCGCCGTGCCCCCTGCCTCCGAAAACGGCCCAAGGTGGTGACAGGGTATTCTGTCACTCCGCACACACACACACAAACACGCACACACACGCACACACACCGCACCCGCGCCCGCACCCGCACCCGCACCCGCACCCGCACGTGCGCGCGCGCACGCACACGCGCACGTGCACGCCCACGCCAACGCGCACGCACACGCACTCGCACACGCCCACGCCCACGCGCACACGCAAAACGCGCACACACACACACAACAAACACGCACAATCACCACACAAACGCACGCACTTTGGAATGTAGGAGAATCACAGAGGTCATGCGTCAACCCTTGCGTTTCGGAAAGCAACACAAAATAAAACAACAAACAAACAAACAAACCATCGAGCCTTGTAAAGCAACGGCGCAACACCCCAGACAAGGTGGCTCTTTTGCAGGTACGTCACTGAGCGTCCCCAGTGATATGTTCGCACCCCCTGACTCACAAAACTTCAACTTGGCGGTGAAGCCTTGCATCCGTGATCTAGGATGATCCACACACACAAACACACCCAAACACAGCAACACACACACACACGCAAACCGCACACGCGCACAACAAACACGCACAAACACCACACAAACGCACACACAAACACACAAACACGAACAAAGACACACAGACAAAGACACAGACACAGACACAGCCACACACACAGAAACACACACACGCAAGCACGCAAATACACGTACAAACGCACAAACACACACACAAACACGCACAAACGCAACACAAACACAACACAAACACGCAAGCGCACACACAAACACACAAACACAATCAAAGACACACAGACGCAGACACAGACACAGACTGAGACGCAGACACAGACACAGACACAGACACACACACGCACAAACGCAGAAGCACACACACAAACCCACAAACGCTCAGGCACGCACAAACAAGCAAACACCCACACAAACACACACACACACACACAAACACGCACAAGAATACCAACACAAACACACAAGCGCAAAAACAGAGACACGCAAACGCACACACGCACGCACGCAAGAACACCAACACAAACGCAAGCGGAAACACGCGCACACACACACAAAGACACGCAACACACACACAAAGACACACAACCGCAACAGACAGACAAACACACATACCAAGACACACGAACACACGCACAAACATGCGCAAGCGCAGACACACGCACAAAGACACACAAACACACAAAGACACAAGCGCACACACAAAGATACACAAACACACACACGCAGACACAAAGACACACAAACACCCACACAGACACAAAGACACCCAACCACACACAGACACACGCACGCACGCACAAAGGCGCACACCCACACGCAAACACCCCAACAAGCAAACGGCAAATAAACAACATCAACAACAGCAACATCAGCAACACTAGCAACAACAGCGACAACACCGACAACAGCGACAACAACAACGATGACAACAACAACAATAGCAATAGCAGCAATAGCCGCAATATAAGCTACAGTAACTACAGCAACTACAGCAACTGCAGCAACTACACCAACTGCAGCAACCACAGACTCCAACTACAACTGCAAACTACAACTGCAACTACAACTACAACAGCGACGACAGTGACAACCACAGGTTTCAACACTTACACGCCCAAATATAGCCTGACTAGATCTTTTCACTGCCTTGACCTAGAATTGTGGCATTACTTGGTCTACGGGGGGCTATACTTGCCCAGCGTTGCAGTGATAGAACAAGCATGCGCACGTGGGCAAAGCCGTAGGGTCCCGGCGAATTCGTGCAAGCCGCCTTGCCTCCAAAAAAGTGAGGTTTTGGCTTCATCATGCGCTGTAAGGTGTCAAGCAAGTGTCATGTACCGAAAGCCTTGTTTCTGAACTACAGAGCATGTGTTTTCACTTGCACAGCTGTGCACAGCTATGCAAGATCGTGAGCTTATGAGGAGACAAACAGTGAGCCAGCGTGCTTATGCATTTCCTTGGGCTTGGGGGGCCTGTGCAGGAGCAGACTCAGACATCTCCAGAGTCAAATGCGCTCAGGAGGAGATGTTGGGTGATGGGTACGCAGCTGCAGAGCGGATTGCGCTCGAGCCCAATGGCAACCCAAATTATTTGTCTAAGCCTGAGGAAGGTTTTTTGGCTGTGTTCGCAGCTGTGTGCAATAGAGCCTGATAAAAGCATCGGAGGCAGACCTGAGATTTCGTAGAACAGGGCGATCCAAGCCAAGCGAAGGTTTCGAGACTTTGTTGCTCCTGGCTGTGGATTCTGGCAACGCCTTTTTGAGCTGGGGATGCTTTGCCCAAGAGTTGCTCCGAGGATTGATCCGCAAAACGCCAACTTCTTCCACATGATGTTCTTCCTCTGAGCGCGCCAGGCTTTCCGTCGCATGGAGTCGCTTGGCCCCGGCCGGTCCAGGTTGTACAGGGCAAGAGGGCAAAAACAAAAATAAGTCTGTTGGAGCCTGTGACGAATGTTGCGAAGGCGAAGGCTTCAGTCGAGATGCGCGCAGCCATTGAGCTCAGGGCAGATCTTATGGCTGCTGTAGACAGGCTCCTTAGATAGGCCGTATCTGGCGAGAGGCGCGCAGGTGCTTTGAGAGGCTCGTGACCCTTCGGCTTTCATTCTCACACGTTCGGGAGCAGGCCCCGAAGCCGCGGGATCTCGCCGATGACAGAGGCTTGTCTCGAAGTTTGGGTCAAGAGAACGCACGATCCGAGTTGCGTGGATTCCGCTTCTCTGCGCAGGCCTCCATTCTTTCTGACAAGCTTAGGAGGCTGGCTCGGCATTTCTTGCCATCTCGGCTTTCATTGCAGAGGTATGGCACTTTGGGCGCAGGGATCATCCCAGATGCGCTAGCGACCATTCGGTTTCTGGAGGCACACACTGTGCGTTTTTCTTCGCTCTTTCCACCTTCCACCGATTGAGGCCACCAAGGCCAAAGCAAAGGCTTCAAGGGCTCAAAAGGCTCCAAAGGCCTCGCCCAGCAGGAGTCTTAAGTCGCATCGCAAGCGCCAAAGCGGCTTCCCATGTTCGGTGCATGGCAACTTGGCATCGAGGCAAAGCTCCAGCTCCTGCGAGCGGCAGTGCCTTGGCGGTGTCTGAAGTCGGGCGTCGTGCGGTCCGTGAACACGAGGCCGAACTTGGAAAAAGCCAAGCGGCAGAGGAGAACGGCAGATATGGCAGACATGGCAGACATGGCAGATAGTATATGATGGAATAGAATGGATGGTGCCAGCTATGGCCCAGGACCGTTGACGCGGCAGGAGGTTTCGGAGCTGCTGGACGAGACCATCCGAGTTCAAGGCGTGGCTAAGCTCCCGAAGCTCCCGCAGCCAGCTCCTCCGAGCTCCCGTTCCGAGAGGCATCGTGCAGATCGAGATCAGCCAACTCGCTCGGGACCTGGCCAAGGAGTCCGCTGGAGTGCGCTGCGCTCAACTCATCTCCGAGCATCTCCGAGCCACTTCGATGCAGGAGAGGTCCGACAAGAAGAAGAAGAAGAGTCTGTCCATACCAGAGGCCTACCAGCGAATCAAGGCACGTGCGCACATGCGACGCAAAGTCAGAAGTGTTTGGCCAGGAGCTGAAGTTGCCCATAGACCCCTTGGAGGACGCAGACGTGTGAACTGAGCAGCGCCTTTGAGCCAAGCGCAAGGAGCTCGACCTCTCCGAGCAGGCTTTTCAGAAGTTGATCTCGCAGCGGGGGCCTCTAAGTATCTCTAAGTCGTCTGAGTGCGGTGTGCGATGGGTGGAGCGTGCGGGTCGGCTGAGGTACGAGAACGACGAAGAGGCGCCCCGAAGAGCGCCGAAGTGCCAAAGTGCCGAAGCCCACTTGGATGCTTGGGGCGTCTTGGGGCGGCGAGGGGCGTCTGGGTGCCAGGTGTCTGTGAAGGCTCAGCTGCTGCTCCACCCGGAGCCAAAGGGCGACACCGTTCGAGCTCGCAGCACCCCGGCGTTGTCCAAACGTTTCACGCTTTCGGAGGTCTTTGAGGTGATTTGGCGGTAAGTGATATGTTGCATCTATTTGAGATGGTCGAGTTGGCAGTCGTTGACCGCATTGCTGCCAGGTATTTCGGTGGAAAAGATCATCGAGATCCACCAATTCATGGTGGTCGGACTGCTCGCAAGGGCTGCATACAGTTCTGTTGATCCATGCTTGAGGTTCGGATGCAAAAGGTTCTCACGGAGTTCCTTACGTTAGACCAGGACCGCTTGAGCCGCATACCAGCACAAGCGTACAGAATCTCACTTGACACCATTTGCAATGCCAGGAGACCCGCAGAAGTTTCAGCAACAAGGCTTGCGCTTTCACCGTTCCCGCCAGCTTTTGCAAGTTGCATGCACCCCTAGAGCTCTGTGTTAAAATCTTTGTGTGCCTTTGTCCCCCCTCGCATCTCCATGAAGCTTGGGGGCACACTGGCACTTTGCAGCTGAGGCGTGCGAGACCACTGCTGAACTTCTGGCCCGCTCGAGTTTGAAGAGAAAAGCTTGCTCGAGCGCAACCCGAGGTGTCCATTGCTGTGGAGCAGCAAGGTGTCCACTGCGAGGATGTAGAGCAGGCTGGGCTGTGCTGGGCTGTGCTGTGCTTCACTGCCTCCAGCTCGGAATTTTGGAAGGCCGTGCTTTGGTGCAGTCCTCAAATGCGTGACGCACGCTCGGTGAGCATAGACCCGAAAAGAGCGCAATCTTTTGGGGCTGTTGCCGCCCCCTTGCTTGCTGGAGACAAACGCTGAGAAGGGAACGAAGGAAGGAAGGAAGGAAGAAAGGAAGAAAGGAAGAAAGGAAGGATATAGAGAAATGGCACCAAATGAAGTGATGAAGGGATAATGATGGGTTTTGTCTCTTGTGATTTTGGCGAGGCACGAAAACGTGCTGGCCAACCATCCCGAGTCGAGCAGCCCAGTTTTCCAACACATGAGCCATAAATACATAAATAGAAAAAAGCAGAGTCTTGAGCCTATGGGCGCGTTCTGTGTCAGGTTTGCTCGTTGCACTGAACAGCTGGCGAACATGATGCAGCGCGGGCCTCAGTCTCGGCACGCGCTCTGCCGCTTGGACTGCGAGGCACCTCACAGGTTCAGCTCAGCCTCGCGCGGAGAAGGCGTGCGCCACACATTTCTTCTGGAACACGTGGCTGCTCGAGGCAGATTTCCTAGAAGTGCTCCGGAACATGGCCAATCACGCCCAGGCATCCAAGGCTGGCAAGTTTGCCTCGTGCACCAAGACATACCAAGAAAATCCAAGAAACTCTCCAGGAGTTCTCCAAAAAGGTCTACGAGGACTACCGCGCCTGTTGCCTCAGCACGGGGTAGACGGGGTCGGGGTCGGGGTCGGGGTAGACAGCGAGCTTCCGCAGGCGAAGAGCTGCAATGCGGGCCAGGCCTACCGCCGCTTCGAGGCGATCCGAAGGGATCCTTTAAGGGATCCGATAGGAGCGCTTCTCGGGGAGCGCGGAGTTTTTCCGAGGACTTCAACGCGGCCCAGCCGGTGCTGAAAGAGGGCCTCGAGGACCTCACGCCCGTGGAGCTGCAGCTCTGCTACGACGAGTACCGGGAGGACCCTGAGGCGACTGACGCGTCGTCTTTCGCTTGGGTTTTTTGTTTGGAGTCCTTGCGTTCGACTTCTCATGACTTCTGCGAGTCGGTGACACTCCCATCACTTTCAAGGTGCAGCAGGCTTGGAACAAAGCCGGCGTGGAGAACAGCTTGAATCTGTGCTGCGCTGAGCTGGCGATAGCGATCGCGACGGCCCGTCGCACGAACTCGAGGGCCAGCTCCCTGTCGCTGAAGCCTGGTGCCTCGCCGGAGGCGACACGCGCCGCGCGCGTGCCTGCACCGACGCGCGTGTTTTGTTGAGGACAAGAAGGGGAAGAAGATCAAGCCATCTGAGATTGTGGAGATGCAGGAGAGTTGAATCCAAAGGCAAGGCAGGCTCGGGCTCTTGGGCTCCAGGAGCTCATGGTGGACGAAATGAAGCGGCTCTGCGAGGCGTCCAGAGAAGCAGCCAAGGCTTGACCATCTTGACCTTGAAGCTTCCAGCCGCTTCCAGACCTTTTGGGCCTAGGCTTCGCAGAAGCCCTGGCAAGCGGACACCGCCATGCAAATGGCCTGGCTCTAACCGCACGAAACACGAAAGCACGAAGGACCCACCGGTCCGGTTAGGTCCAAGCGCTGGCAAGCGCTGCGGTGGAAAGGAGGCGCGCCTTCATTTTGCTTCCGCTTTGGCCTCCTTCCCCGCTTGTGCGCGCTTTTCGTTGAGGTACGGCGCCTCACCGGAGGAGGTCACCATGGCAGGGCTGCAGAACGCCAGCGGCCCGTGTCAGAATCAGAAAGGTCAGAAAGGTCAGCGACAGTCGAAGCCATTCGAAGCCCTCAGGCTCCAACTCTGCAAAAGAACGAGCGCTTCGTTCGAGCCACGGAGAAGCAGCAGGAGCTCATGGGGGCAAAGCAAAGCGTTCGGTGCACTCGCAGCTCGCACAAAGCTTGGCGAGCGAGGAGATCATCATGACCGTGGCCAGTTTTTGCTCGCAAAGCCAATGATGGAAACGATCCAGCTTTGAATCATTGAATCGGGCTAGTATTGACTGGATGTTGGACATAATCACCAAGGAAATGCCTCAGATTTGACCCCAGTGACCCCAGCACTGAGAGCAACAGTCAAAACTGCTCTCTTTCATTTGTGGAGAGCAGACTGGCTGGGGTTGTGTGCAGCTTGAGTTGATGATTACGCCTTTTGCTTTCGTGCGTTTCCAGCCAAGCTCCCTCTGCAAATGCCTCACGTCTCTTGCCAAGGGCAAGTTGGGGCCGAAGGCCATTCCTGTAGGTGCCCTCTATGGCACGATAAAGGGTTTAGGGTGGCACGGGAGGTGGCGAGAGCTCGTGCGTGCCGCGTGGATTGGCTCAAGCTGAAGTTCATAGCACTGCGTCACGCGTCACGACTGCGAAAAACGAATGCCGTTGCCCGACAGGGATGCGTTACGGATGTTTGGGGCCTCAGAAGCCGAGCGTCTGAAGGGAGCCAGCGATCAGCTCAAGCCGGCAGTCACATATAACTCATACACGTACATGCATCCGTGATGACGGCTCATGGCATCGCCTGATGAAGAGGATCGGACATGTTTCACCGGAGTGCTTCGTAGTGAGTGTCCCCCGGGTTTGGGCCAAGACATTGATGCCTTTACTCACCCACACCGATCTCAGGCGCCTCGCGATTTCTTGGCTGTGGATTCACAGGCACGGCGACACGGGCAAACTGGCGCGTTCTTGTCGCAGTGTTCCGCAGCTTTCCCGCTGGATGCGATTCGGTGCCGTTGACAGGCACGGCCCTCGCCCTCGCAGCCCTCGCAGAGCTTGAGTGCAGCTTGGCCTGTGGAACGCAGAGTGTGACGCAGAGATCCGTAGAGATTGGCCCCCGAGGCACGAGGCGCGCGGAGAGTATGGATCTCGTGGGGACGGCAGTGACGATAAGAGAGACCCCCTTGAACTCTGAACTCTTAGGCTCGGGTTTCTCATCGTGGTTGTGGGTACACTTTCTGCAATGGCGTGGGAAGAGATCCCGTCCTACTTGTCGCTCAAGATGCGAGAACCTGGGCTGAGACTTAATTGCTTGCGAGCTGAGAGGTGCCCAGTTTTTTGGATGGCTTGGTTGGCTTGGTGTCTTGGTTCAAGGTGTCCCCGGAGAGTCCGATGCAGATTCGCCCTGAATTGCAAGACCCTCAACATGAGCTGGGCCATCCCAAGCGGATGCTCTTTGTGGTTCACTCAGCGCCTCTGGCGGATCAGTGCATCAAACACGTGCCAAATGGTTCAACGCTGGATTTTCATAGTTTGAAGTGTACGCTTTGTGACCTTCCTGTGGCGCTTTGCTGCCACGTCCATGTTCGGACCTTAGGATTCCAACTTTTATTCCTCACGTGTGAAGTGGGTAATGGAGACGTGGGGCAAAGATCTCACAAACGAGACGCTCGGCAGCATCCAGCCTTCGCCAAGCCTCGTGACGTCGTAAAAGCTCGCCTGAGGACTCTGATCATCATTGGCGACTCGGTGCCAAAAGACGATCTGGGCGGCATCATTCGAGCCACTGGATGTCCTTCGCACTCACACAATCGAGGCCCGGGTTGAATCGTGAAGTCCGCAGGATGCATTTTGCAGAGATCGAACTGTTCGACCCTGAGGGCTCGACTGCAAGGTGTCCCAGGATTTGATTCAGGCAGATGTGGCGATGCAGCAAGACCCGTCCTTGGCCTGGGCGTTCATTGTGGATGACGACGCCTACGTCAGGACGACCGAGCTTGCGGCACTTGCTTTTCGCGTTCGCTTAGAATTCAACGAGAGAATAGTTGCAGCCAGGACAGATGCCCTGTCCAGCTTCCTGTTGCCCAAAGACGGCAAGGGCAAGCATGGGACCGTCGAAGTCTTGCGCGCTCTCGGCCGTACGACGTGTTTCGGCCCTTGACGGGCCAGAGTTGCTCGTGGATTCGTGGATCCGCGCACATCAGCCGGTTTGATTAGCTTGAGTCTTTGCCTGACTTGAAGTGATTTCCATTGGAGACCTGAGAGCAGTTTCACGCAGGAAGGGGGTTGCGCTCGGCATTTTTGGATGTGGGACCACAGATCCCGAGCTGGACCCTGAGCCCTAGATGGCTCCTAAGCTTCCTATTCGAGCTTGAGGTGTGGCGGATTGCTGTGTGGTGGCGGTGGCCTTGTGATGAGCCGCGAGGACCGTGTGACTTGCGTGTGACTTGCGTGCGACCGGCTTCCGGCGTGCTGACAGCTCAGGCGGTACGCATCACGGTGGCGGGGCCCGAGGGACGAGGCCCCAAGGCTTTCGCCCGAGAGGCGCGTGCGGACCGTGCGGAAAGACCGTCGAATGTGCGCCATGCACGCCCGTGCCGATAGGTCGCAGAGAACTTCAAGAGCCTCGGCCGGAAGTCCGCAAGTCCGCAAGTCCGCAAGTCGCAGAGAGGGCCTTCAATAAGTCGCCAGAGGAAATGCGGCCAGTGGGGCGACATCGCGGTCTCAAAGGCCATCCGCCAACGAGGCCACCGAATCCCGAAACGCGAAAGCTCATTCGAAGCTCATTTCGCTCCAGGCGTTCAGCTCACCCCCATGCAGGGCCTTCACGGGTGGCGCCTAGCCAAGTCTTGCACCTCGACGAACATTTTGACTTTTGAATTCTTTGAGTTTGGATCGGAGACCGTTTGAGTTTTTTTTGGACTGCGTTTTGAATGACTCGACTCAAGTCGAGAGGCTTCGATGTGGCCATGCAGGAGAAGGACGGGCGCGAGATTGGGCGGCCATTGGGGGGCGCTTTTTGGACCACAGGAGCCCAGCTTCATGTTCCACTACCAGAAGAATGAGCAATCTCTGCAGATGCTGCACCGCATTTTTACCGGCAAAGGCCATCTCGGCCATTTTTGTCTCTTGTGTCTCATGAATCGCTCTGCCTGCGAGGCGACGTTGCAAAGTACGACCCGCGGAAGTGCGTGAAGTTCCGCAAGAAGTCTTTCTGTATGGACCGAGGGCCGGGCAGAGTTGAATCCTTCAGAGGCATGAGGCACTTTTGATCCGAAGTTTGGGGGCAATGCTGACGCAACTCCGCGGTATGTGTGAGCTGTTCGTCGGGACCTCGCAGTATGTATTGAAAGCGGACACTCGCTGGCATCATTGAGTTGTCAGCCGCTCTCTTCAGCTCTCTTTGAACAGTCTTGCCTCAGGGGCCTTCGCCCCTGGGACGACGAGATCTCCAGACCCAAATGCAGCAGGCTGTGGCGGGCGAAATGTCGGACTGACGTCCAACATGCCCTAGGCGACTGCAGCAGATTGTGCAGGAATCCATCGTGCATGGCTCAGCCAACTTCATGGCGCAGGTTCAAAAGGAACTCAGGTATTCTTTCACGTCCATGGCTCGACTTGAGCTTTGAAATCCTGGAAACGATTCCATGACATGTTGCAGGCTTTTCCCATGCACGTGGCTTCCATGCTAGGTCGTGGAGAATGCCCGGCGCTTGCAGGACAACGTATGATGTCTATCTGATAGGCCCTAGGCCAGTGTGAGTCTTCCCAGGACGTCGACCGACCGGGAGTGACAAATGAGCTCAATTGGCTAGAGGCTTGTGCTACTTGTGCTAGCATGCATTTCTTTTCCTTTAGACCTTGCAGTGCTTTTTGACTTGCGTCTCGTCCGATCCACGCGCCGGGCTCAAAGCATCCACAATGAAGTGGCCTCTGTTCCTGCTGGGTACGAAGCTGAGACGACACAAATTGCAAATTTGGCTCGGCAGTTAGACAGTTCGACACTTCGACTTGTTTGGGGCCGAGTCGCATTTAGAGTTTCGGACTCTCGGACTCGCTCATGAGGCCGTAGATTCAGTCAGGATGCCGCTGACTTGAAAGATCAGCGTGCCAAACAACCACGGGACGTAGCAATTCTAAGCCGTCAGGAAACTGGGTTTGCTCGGAGACCTGGCTCGGTGCATCGCTTTCTAACCTGTGCAGACGCATAACGGTATATGAATCTGGGTCAGCATTTCCAGAAGCCTCTGATTTAGAAAGAACACGAGAGCGCAAGGTGCCTTGGTTGGCTCCAACAAGCTGCGGAGCGCCCCAACTGTCGGCGTGATTGTGGTGCCCTGGCAAGAAAGAGAGCAGAGAGCTCCATAAGGAGCGCGAAACAGCGAGACGAAGAGTGAGAGAGAGATGGAGAGTCATCGAGGTTTCGCATGTTGCGTTTGGGATGCAAGGTGGGCGATCCAGCCTTTCAGCGTGCTGCGGCAGAAATGGCATTGCGCGTTAAAGGATCGTAGACAATGCGTGGGCATCGTGCCATTGGACTTGGGAGTCTTACAGAAGAAGCAGGAAGAGAGGTAGCATGAGTGGTGCATGCAAGGCCGCTATGAGGTGCAGATTAAGAGCATTAGATGCTATGCTGACAGGCGCGAATTCTGTGTGCCTGCCGCAGGGTGTTTGTTGCTATGAACGCTGTAGGCACGGCTATGAGATGACTGTTCTGGCAGCCTCAGAATTTCCCGAGTGCAAGCGCTTCTTAGACTTTTTCTTTAGCAGCTTGGCAGCCTTCCGACATGCGGCTCCGGACTTCTGACGTTGTTTGGTTCGGGTGGAAATCTGCGTGGGGTCTCTCAGGAAAGCATTGCACAGTCTCCAAGTTTCTGGAGACCAAGCCGTCCGAGTACACAGCTGCTGTGTTTGACGGAGATGTCGTCGTCGCTGCACCCAACCGCGGGCTGGACTGGGTTGACTGTTGGGTCTGTGCGAGCGCTTGCCGAGAGATGCGAGCCAGGACAAGTGGATAAACCATGGAGCAGACATCCAGCTCTACAATCGCCACCCGCCGAGAGACGCCAAAGACTCAGAGAATGCGCTTGCATCGCCTGAGGTTGCCTCTTCCATGAGATCATGGCAGGCCGGACCATCTTTTTCTTTCAGTGTGGGTCGGAAGTGAAGAATTGAAGTCCTGAGGCAACTACATGGTCCGGAACACGGCCTTTGCGCGGGACTTCCTGATGCGCTGGGCACTGTACTACGACCGGAAGCCTCAGGGCTTCTCCTCCTCAGATAACGGCGCCATCCAGCTCGTCGCACCTCGGAACTTTCACATTTGACTCGCTCCATGACCTGTTTCCTTTCCTTTTCCTTCACCTTCCTTGGCACCCTCCTCAGGTCATGGAGACCATCAAGGTGGAGGGCTTTGACACCTGCTACGATATGTACCGAAAGCTCACAGAATCCGTGCGGGGCTCAAGAGTGAACGGGCTGACGAGCCGGCCCGTCGCTGCCCAGGTCACAAATCTGAAGCCCTACTGGGACTACGTGCACTGCACCAAGGAGGCGCATTGAACATGCGAACCCGGTATGGCCTAGCGCTATTGGGGTCGAAAGTCAGGTGCGCACGGAGCATATTTTAGTTTTTAAAGCTCCTTGTATGGATGAGAGCTACGCACAACCCGGAGAGATGCATGTTTTTTCCTTCTGCCACTTCATTTATTTGTCCTCACGACTGCTGTGACCCCAACCTCTTTCAGCTGCAGACTAGACCTGGCTGAAGGACAGGGAGTCGTCAAGCTGTTGGCTACGACTCCATGTCCCTTATAAACTTGTAAACTTACAAAGACACTGGACCGTTCGTGCATGAGGCGCTTGAAGGTGTGGCACTTCTGTGCGGTTCATCTATACCTTGCGTCGGGAGCGATTTCCGATTTGGGCAGGACTCTGGGCAGTTTCTGATGAAGCCATGAAGCTTAATCTTCCACTTGTGAGCTTTTTGATGTGTTTGCTTGATCAACATGCCCCGCAGTTGTGCACAGATCCAATGCGCCAAAAGGACTGCGCCCCAGCATTTGCTTGCTTGTAAATCGTCCCCTAATTAGGGTTTTGCTCTTTTTGGGGTGGCTGTTTTTACTTGGGGATGTTTGAGCTCGCTCGCAAGGAGGACAGTTGCCACTGCCCGGACTACAGCAGGGGCGCAAATGACAACAAGCGCTCTCACGCGCATCCACAACCGCTGCACCCATGCTAGCGCAAATGACAGTTAACACGCTCGCGCGATTCCACAAGCCGCAGAACGCGAATTGACAGTAAACACGCTCACGCGCCTCCACAACCACTGCGCCCATTCTGGCCTAAATGATAATGAGGGGTATTTGTTTTAGGAATTTGTTTCTTTATTTTTGCATTTTTTTGTCCATTTTTTTCCCCCGCTTTTGGCTTCTTGGCTTCTTGGCTTTGGCTTTTCGCATCCTTTGCAGCTGAGAGAACCCCCCAAACATGAATCACATCAGCATATGTGCGCAGGGCGGGGCTCGAGCACGAAGCCAGACGGAGCATAGAAAAGGCGCAGAGCTATGTCGCTCGCTTGAACTGGGTTTGGCCATTTGGGGCCGCCTTCATGGTAGCGGAGCTCCTAGTGACGACCGGGGAGCGCTCCGACGGAAAGGTCAATGGCGGCCTATCAGGTCCCTGAGTGGGATGGTGAAGCAGCAAGTTTCAGGCTTGAGACGGCATGTGCTTGCACTGCAGAGCAGCGAGAGGGGAACGGCAGCCAGTGGCACGCCTGAAAGGGCCCGCCAAGAGGGTGGTTCAGCACCTCAAGCCGGAGCAGCTCGATGGCAACGATGGGCATAGCTTCCATCACCTGGAGAAGTGGCACCCACGTCAAGAAGAAGGTGAACGAGACCATCATGGAGCTTCTGGTGCGCGAGGACGAGATTTTTCAGGATATGGTGGATGCTCTTCGTCGAGCGCGGCGAGATCAGAAAGGTCAAGGGGCGAAAGGCGATTAAGCCTCTGGGAAAGCGAGGAGTGCACCTCCATGTGTTCACGGGGACTCGGAGGGGGAGGCCGACGACAAAGAGAAGGCTGAGGGTGGAGAACCATCTGCGGAGCCTCCCAGATCTGAGCCGGACAGCCGACCACGGAGATGGAGTTGGGTGGCTTCTTCACGGATGAGCTCAGAGGTTTCTGAGTGCTGAAGGCCTCAATGCTGAGCGAGCGACTCAAGAGTTTTCTCAGGACGATGTTCTCCCAAAATCAATCAAGCGGAGAAGGCCGCGGGCGAGAAGGGAGTGGAGGCGAAAGGCGCCTTCCTACAAAGCTGGCGGCTACATGGTTGCGCAACAACCACATCTACGCTGCTGGAGATGACTTCCGACCCTCACGGATCCAACGCAGCCGATGCTGGAGATTCGCAGGCAGCACGCCAGAAGGCAGTGACGAATCAAGCCCTGTCCAAGCTGGGAACACGGCTGGGCGACCCGTCGAGGAGCGCAAGCCCAGTGATCTGGTGAAGCTGGGCAAGATGTTTGGAGGGTGGGTCGGACCGGTTTGGGCCAAGGAGCAAAACACCTACTGGCTCATAGGCACGGTCAAGGCTCGGACCAACCAGGAGACGCACAAGGCGAGAACACCTTGACGCACGCTTGAAGGGCGCGACGGTGTTCCGCTCTCCTGTTCCGCTGACCAACTTCGCTGGGCGCATCTACATGGATGAAGTCCAAAGCTGGAGGCAGATGTTGGATGAGCCGATGTGATGCGTCAGCCCCGTTCTTGGGGAAAGGAAGCAATCTGGGCAAGGGGGCACGAAGTGTGATGTGGATCTATGGTCCACACACATAGATGCTCACCGCAAAAAGACTGACCGCCGCATTCGGAGTGGAGTTCGTGCGGGGCGGCGATGAACTTGGACTCTTCGGCGAACCTCATCTGGGACAGGGCGCGAAGAAGCCGGAGGAGGAGATCAACGGTGAAGAGGGGCGACATGTGGAAGGCAACCAGGAATCCGGAGATCTGGTTGACAAAGATGCTGGAGAAGCGCCGAGAGGTGTGCTGGAGACTTTTTTGCGGAGGAGGAACTGTTTGACGAGGCCCAGCACCCGGAGTCTGACCGCAAGAAGCTGGGAGAAGAAGGCTAGGAGGATGAGATGGGTCCTGACATGGAAATCGTCGGGAGCGGCGAAAGGTGGTCCCAGGCTTCCAGGTGGAGAACTTGACGGAGGTGGAGACTCATTCGCCATCAATGAGCAAGACCGCGAAGTTCGTGCTGTTCGCGGCGACCCTCAGCTTCACAGTGAAGCCCGGAGACGCGCTGCCTTTCTGCAGTCGGCTTTCTATGGACTTGCTCACGCGCCAAGGATTTGGTGTGGTAGCAGCGCCTACGTCCAGGGTGGAAGCAATTGGATGGAGACAGATGCATCCTTGTCCTGATGGCGACCGCGCCGAGGATGATATCATCGCGATGCGCGGCATCCACGTGGGTGACTTTCTCATTGGAGGAGATGATGGCGATGATCGACACCAAGGCGCCTACAATCTCGGGAAACACAAAACCGGCAAGTTCGAGTTTGCAAGTCAGCAGGTCAACATGTCTTGGTGCACCAGGAAGGCTACACCCGAACGAGGCAAGTTCATGACCCCCCCATTTGTAAGAATGTGAAGCAAGGGGAGCTCTTGGATGTTTATCCTGGCGGGCCAATCAGTCAGCGCCTTGTGCGGCGGTTGGACTTCGGTTGAGCCAGGTGAACAAAAGGCGCCATCAGTTTGCTCTTGGAGATCAATAAGATCATGCGGGAGGCCAGGTCCGACCACCAACAGGTTCTACGGTTCCATGCATGGCGCCAACCTTGGAAGGAGATCTGCAGGGCTCGCAAGAAAACCGACGTGATGGCGGGTCTACGATTGGAATCGTGCGAGGGCTCGCGCTGCATGACATTGAGCAGGGAACCAAGAAGGCGCCGGGCATCTCTGCCATCAAATCACTCAGAGGTGCAGGCGATCACCATTGGGGAAGACTACAACTTCCCGGTCAGCTGGAGCTGCGTGGGAGAACTCCAGCCGGGAGAACGCGAGTGATGGACAGCCGCGGGGTCTTCGATGCGGCTAAGGCTACGAGGAATGATGAGAGCGCGCTGCATGGGCTGCGAATCAGCCGAGCTGGGTATGAGCTTGCGGCCGCAGTCACACAGGCGCGCAAACTTGGAACCTATATGAGGTGGGGTTACGGCGGCGCGAGGCTGGCGGACAGCCTCACGAAGTTGAATGCCAGGAAGACTTGGCTGGTTTTCTCTGCGGCAGGCCAAACACATGTCATGCACGACCCTTCCTTTGAGTCTTTTAAGAAGGTACATGCAAATGCGAAGGCTTTCAAGCAAGTGCAAGATGCATTGGCCTCCGGGAACCTGTGAGGAGGATGACGATGAGCCAGCCCTGATGCGACAGTAGCTGAGGAATATGTCTGTATGTATGCACTTCTTCGAACATCGTAGGGAAGCCCCCCCTTTCTTGAATCTTGGCACCCGCGCCCCTAATTGAATCATCACTTTTTCGTAACATCATGGGCCCCCCTCAACCCCCCCCCCCCCCCGCTACTTTTTAGATTGTTTGCAGAGATTTGATTGCACCCATATCCCCCCCCGCTACTTTTGGATGTTTTTACAGGGATCGACCCCGTCAACCCGCTAGCTGCTTTTGTTTTTTGTTGGTGATGCTGGGGATGTTGGTCGGACATGCGGGGGATGTTGAAAACGATGCGGGGCATGTTGACGGGCTAGTGTAAAATAGTCAAATTTAAGGGCTGCCGCCCAGTGCCGCCGACCCCTGGATTTAGTTGTGGTTTTCGAGCAACCAAAAACAGTGCCCTTGGTTTTGGTTTCTTTGGTTTCTTTTTGACCCAAATGGCATCTGAAGCGAGGTGATCCTCATCATCTTCATGATGATTGTCATCATAGTCATCGCCTTCATCATCGTCATCATGATATTCTTCTATCATTTCAAATGCGGTATTAGGCAGAGGATGCTACGATGATAGTTACAGCTTTGGTAATGCAGAGGATGCTACGATGATAGTTGTCATAAGAGTCATCATCCTTATCATCTTCATGATGATTGTCATCCTAGTCATCGCCTTCATCATCGTCATCATGATTTTCTTCTATCTTTCTTCTATATACATTTGAAATGCATCCTTGGTAATGCAGAGGATGCTACGATGATAATCCGCAGCTTTGGTAATGCAGAGGATGCTACGATGATAGCTGTCATAAGAGTCATCATCCTTATCATCTTCATGATGATTGTCATCATAGTCATCGCCGTCATCGTCGTCATCATGCTTGTCATCATCATCATCATCATCTCTTCCTTAGGCATCCTTGGTAATGCAGAGGATGCTACGATGATAGTTCCGCAGCTTTGGGAATGCAGAGGATGCTACGATGATAGTTATCATAAGAGTCATCATCCTTATCATCTTCATGATGATTGTCATCATAGTCATCGCCTGCATGCCTTCATCATTGTCATCATGATTGTCATCATTATCATCATCTCTTTCTTCTATCTTTCTTCTATATACAAAGATGAGGGCTGTGTTGATTATATCATCGTAGCATCCTCGGCATCATCAGTGCCGGCTGACAAGAGAGGAGGATGACCATGATGATAGTGATGATAAGGATGAGGACTGTGATGATAACTATCATCGTAGCATCCTCTGCATTGCCAATGGGGCCTAACGTTACTTTTGAAATGCATATAAGAATAAGAATAAGAATGAGATGGGTGGTCGTCATGATGATGATGAGAAGAGCGATCATCATAATAAGGATGATCATGATGATGATTATGATGATAACTATCATCGTAACACCCTTTGCATCACCAGTGCTGCCTAATAAGAGATGGTGATGACCGTGATGTTTACTGATGACAGGATGAGGACTGTGATGATAACTATCATCGTAGCATCCTCGGCATCATCAGTGCCGGCTAACAAGAGATGATGATGATAGTGACGATACTGTGATGATAACTATCATCGTAGCATCCTCTGCATTGCCAATGGGGCCTAACGTTACTTTTGAAATGCATATAAGAATAAGAATAAGAATGAGATGGATGATCATCATGATGATGATGAGAAGAGCGATCATCATAATAAGGATGATGATTACGATGATAACTATCATCATAACACCCTTTGCATCACCAGTGCTGCCTAATAAGAGATGATGATGACATCCTCGGCATCACCAGTGCCGGCTAACAAGAGATGATGATAACCATGATGATAGTGATGATGAGGATGATCACATCATACTAAGGATGATCATGATGATGATTATGATGATAACTATCATCGTAACACCCTTTGCATCACCAGTGCTGCCTAATAAGAGATGGTGATGACCGTGATGTTTACTGATGACAAGGATGAGGACTGTGATGATAACTATCATCGTAGCATCCTCGGCCTCATCAGTGCCGGCTAACAAGAGATGATGATGACCACGATGATAGTGATGATAAGGATGAGGACTGTGATGATAACTATCATCGTAGCATCCTCTGCATTGCCAATGGGGCCTAACGTTACTTTTGAAATGCATATAAGAATAAGAATAAGAATGAGATGATGATGATCATCATGATGATGATGAGAAGAGCGATGACATCATAATAAGGATGATCATGATGATGATTATGATGACAACTATCATCATAACACCCTTTGCATCACCAGTGCTGCCTAATAAGAGATGATGATGTTGAAGGATATAGAAATGATGATGATGATGATGATGTTGACGATAAGAATGATGAAGGATCATATCGATGATGATGATAATGATGATGATGGGCATCTGTATGATGCCAGTAGTCATATGCTTGCTTTAAAGATTAATCCATGCGCTTGTACTGCAACCACCCTTCCCGTGCGCCTCCCCTTTGAGGAGAAGGGGTCGGCGGATTCGCGAGAAAATGCTGTAAAATACGACGTTTTCTTGGCCAAGACAAATACGGGGGGGGGGGGGAACTCAACCACGCTTGAGCGCATCCGCAACAGCTGTGCCGATGCCAGCGCGAATGATGATGTTCACGGTCATGCGCTTTTGCGCGCTGCACCCATGATTGCACTAACGATAGTAAGAACGCTAGCCGCATCCACAACCGCTGCACCCATTCTGGCGCGCATGAAAATCTACCTGCACCCATGCTCTCCCTTTGACCAGTTGACCTTTCCTGATTGGGCTTGCCTTTTCAGCGCGATGTGCTGGTGCTTTTGGCAATGAATTTGCCGCACCTTGGACGTGCAACTGTGGGACAAACTTGGCTGAAACGAAGTAGTTCGTTGGAGTTGTCTTTGAGCCGTTTTTTGATAGCGTTCGCTGAATTCGTTGGCCAGCACAGTGATTTGAGAATGCGGCAGGCGCCTCACGGCGGTTTGCTTGCTTGCTGGTTGGTTTCTTTGTTTAGTTGCTTGCCTGCCTGCTGGCTTGCTGGCTTGCTTGCTTGCTTGTTTGTTTTGTTGCTTGCTTGTTTGTGCTGCGCCCGCGCAGTGGGGCTGTCAGACCGGACAGGCTGTGTTTGCTCCTGGGGTCAGTGCGCAGCTTGTGAGATCTGGCGGTGATGACTGCGGGGAGCGATGAATCGCTGAAGTGGACTGGGGTTGGCAAGTGAAGTCGTGTGTGAGTGTGATGGAATCCTGAGACGTGGACATGTGATAGCGAGAGCGGAGGCCCACCTGGACTGGTAGCGTTCTCATGGCAGTTGCGTTTTTTTTGCTTGCCGCTGCAACCGCGTGGTTCAAGGCCGTCTTACCAGGCTGCTCGATACCGCTTTGGAACTGACTACCTTGAAACAGACTTCAGCGCGCGGGAAACACTCAAGATTCAGCACGAGCGCACACTGGCGCAGTGCTGCCACGTTCCGCAATTGCAACGGCGCTACTGAACAAGACGATAGGGCTTTCTGCAGCAACGCCTTCGATTCAACGTGAGAGCGCTGGACACACGCGGCACTGTGCAGCAAGTGAGACTGTCCAACACCGATTTCAGAGTGGGCAGAATGGGCAAAATGGGGAAGGGCAAGGGGAAATGAAAGATGACGAAAGGCGGCGGAAAAGGAAAGGAAGGAGCGTGTGGGAAATGAAAAGGAAAGGCGCTGACCAATTGGTGAGCCACGTGATTGGGCTGACGCAGGTGAATGGATGAACGACTGTGCTTGGACTGGACAGGCGCCCTGTGCGATGATGTGCGCAGTGAATGGGACGACTGGGTATGGTGCGTTTCGTGGTGGTGCTGACAGCTGTGCCGGAGCACCCGCGCTGGGTCTCAAACGTCCTTGGAGGGCCCGCCAACGCTGGTGCTTCTCGCGCGCAACCGCACTTTTGTTGTTCGGTTTGCACGCGCGAAATTTGCATGAACTTGCATCACACAGGTACAAGATGACACGAACACTAGCAAACAAACAAGCAAGGAAGCAAGCAAGGAAATAAACACGCAAGCAAGCAAACAAAAGCAATCAAACCGACAAACCAACAATCAAGCATGGCCCAGCAGGCACAAGCAAAGCCTGACAGTTTCCCTACCGACCTATACTTCACCACGCAGTTAAGCAGGCGCAGCGGGCACAGCGCTCGCTCGCTCTAACACTCCAAGTGAAACAGGGCTCAGCGTATCTCACAGAGAAAAGGCTCAACTGCAGCCCTCAATGTAAAGTCTTGCGCTTGGAAAACGACTTTCTAACGCCGCAAGCAAGCTGTTTATGACGGATCTTCCCACACGCAACTCTCCAGGGTTTCTACGGTTTCCAGGTCGGTTTCTGCGGGTCTGACGGCTTTCCGGGTTTGCGCAATTTCTTAGTTTCCGCACTTTCCACAGTTTCCACCGTTTCCACGGCTTCCAGAGTTTGGGCAGTTTCCACAACTTTTCACGGTCTCAGACCTCCCTTTGTGTTTAAGCGACACCCATGGCCTTTACGAGCATCTGACAGATGTGCTTATTGTTTGGTAGACGTGCACGCAGTGCTGCGCGTGCGCGCTTGTGTGTGTGTGTGTGTGTGTGCGCGTGTCCGTGCGTGTGCCTACCAACTGGCAGCTAAAGTGATGAGCGGTTGCGCGGGCCCTGCGTCCGCTTGAGCGGGTGACTTATGAGGCTGGCGTGGGTGCAGTGCTGAGCGGGCGCGGAACGAGCGTGCTCATGATTTTGTGGTTGCAGTCCATGACGCTTGTAGTGGAGCCGGTGTGCTTATCGTCTGCCGGCGCGCGGTGCAGCCCATGACTTAAAATTTAAGCAACTCAGTCTCCACAAGGTGAATCGCGAAGAACAAGCAAAGCAGCGGGCGTCGGCAAAGGATTGGGCACGGGCCAGGCTTGACACTGATGGGCTCCTGGCCCGATCTGTTTTTGTGTTAGAAAACAAGAGCAATCCATGTGAGAGTCGTCCGAAAGGTCCTTGTATTGAGCTATGAAAGGGAAGGCCTTTTGGTCTTGGCGTTGACCTCCGCGAAAGTTCCACGAAGGGGGTCGCGACAGTTAATTGTTTATTCGCGAAAGTATTGTGTATGGGTGGCTTGCTAACAGGAAGCTGGAGTGATGAATCATGTGTATTTACCGGCAGTGCATACGCAGAATGCCTGCAGATTAAAGTTGGTCGGAGTGTTGCCGCAGAATACGCCGCTGCAAAAGCAACCCCGAGCCAGCAGACACCAGCTTGTAGGAGTTTTGAAGCTTTCGGGTCAAGTTGAGTGCAACTTCCAGCCGGATTTTCGCGAATGTTTGGAGGATCCGCGACAGTTTCGCGAAAGTTGACGGACCTCCCCGCCAGTTTCCGGACATGAGGCCAGCGGGTCCTCTCGCGTGTAGTTGACGGCTTGTGAGCTGGAGCTGCGAAAGCGTGCTTCGCGTGCTACTTTGGAAGTGAAAGGTCGCGACTTTCGAGCTGGGGCTGCGGAAGTTTACTTTGCGTACTACTTTCGTATAAAAAAGTTTTGACTTTCGGGGCAGCTGATGTTTTATTTCGTGTACTTTCGTATTGAGAAGTTGCGACATTCAAGCCGGGCTGCGGAAGTTTACTTGTTGTGCTACTTTCGTATTGAAAAGCTGCGACTCGCGGGGTGGGGCTGCGAAAGTGTAGTTCGTCTACTACTTTTGTGATGAATGTTCTGCAAACAGCCCCGCGAAAGTTCCGCGATGGGGCCCGCGAAAGTTATTTTTTTCTCGCGAAGATGGCGGTTTCCGGATCAAGAAATTTCAGACAGCCGTCATGTCAGTGTTGTAAAATGGTCGCAGTTGCGGGCCGAAGTGTTGGAAAAGTGACCTCTGTTTCGTGATGATGCGAATCGGTGTTGTAACATGACGGCCATTCTCATTTCGGCTTCGTGGTTGCCAGTCAGATTTTGTGGTCCGGAGGCAATCGGCCCGGCACGTGCCTGGAAGATGGAGGGCGGGTCTCTCACCATGTGGCCGCGCCTGGAGTTCTTTGCAGCGGACGGGGTCTTCCTGAACAGGCCGAAATTCCACGAATTTCCCTGAATTTCAAAGTTCCGAAAGGGGGCGAGAGCTGCGAGAGAGCTGTGAGATGGAAGTCCTTTTGCCTTTGGCGTCGCGGAGCTGCGTGAGCCGAGCTTGTGAGTTCTTTGCGCAAGGTGGGCCAGTGATGAGGTTGGGCCCATCATGCATCATGGAGTGAAGGATCCGAACGATGTCACCTCCTTCTACTACAAGGACAACTGAATGAGTTCAATTCATGAAGACTAAGCAAAAATAATGAACGGTTTTCAGCCACGCGCTTTGCACAGGACCTTGACAAGTGCGAGCTGAACAGATCTTCGGTGATACGCTCTGCAGAGCAGCTGGGAGAGACAGCGTTGCATTTGGCACAGTCCTACCCGGAGTATTTCCCCGCAGGCGAGCCGTTGCGAGCCGTTGCGAGCCGTTGCACTTGTTGTGATTTGTGTTTTCTTTTAGGGCGGAGCTGCAAGCAATGCGCTGAGCATTGCATGAAGAGCTTCTCCTGTGAGCCGCTTGAGGCATGGTCTCGTGGCTTGGGCTTCGGGTGCTTTCTTTCCTGCAAGGATGCTGAGCAGCCCCGGCCACGGCAGGTGGACTCGATGCTCGACGGGACTCGGGACTCGGGACTCGGCAGGTCTCGTCTGGGCCCAGCACCTTCGTGTTGGAAGACTCCCCCGAGAGCCGAAGGCTCCGGCTCGAGACTTCCCACCTGACATGTCCGATACGTCCGACATATGTCTTTGCAGGCATTCCTGGGGCTGGTCCAGGTGGCAGGTCAAGTGAGGCAGTGAGGAGCCTTGCGCATTTTGCGCATGCGCGCGCAAGCGACATGCCATTTCAAGTGCAGTTTCGCGCCTTGAGCGTGGCAATGCAGCAATTCCAAAACTCGCACTCGAAGTTGTCAGGGCGAATGCGAATGAGCGAATGAATGCCAATCTGAATGCCCATCTCCCCGGTGGCATTGGCTCAAGGATTGTCTATCCCCGAAGCCACATGCCAGGCGGGGGAATGCACGAAAATCGCTCTGCCTGCAACTCTTTCCCGTTGTTTTCTTCTTATTTTCTTCTTTTTTTATCGCCATTGCGCCAGGCACTTAGCTCGGAAGTCTCGACGGCGCCGAAGCCTTGAGGAGCGAGGGTTGGGCCGATCCGATTGCGACCAGGGAGACTGTCCGAGTCACAAGCGCGGAAGTCTTTGAGGTCCAACTTCCAGCAGTGTGGTAAGGTACTTGAATTATTTTGAATGAAGTGATAAACCAATGCATGCTGGCTATTGCATCCGGATGCTTTCGAGCCAAAACCCAGGAGCTACTACTGCTGTTGCTTGCGAACCTTCGCAGAATGTTTGGCAGGTTTCGAGCTGCTGGTCGTGGCCAAATCACGATTGCCTTGCCCTCGGCGCACTGGGGGCGTAGATCACATGTCCTGAAATGGTAGCACCTGGCCTCAAAGGACCTGCATGTAGCTTACAAGAATCCAAGAAGCTCTGATTCCAGGCCTAGCCGGTCTATGGCGGCTATGGCCAGTCGCTCTCTCCCTTTAGAGGCGCGGCACGTGGGCACGTGGGCACGTGGGCACGTGGCACTTGCTTCAGATTCGGAAAAAAGAAAAGCAAGTCGAGCTTGGGCTCAGTGGAGCTTCGAGGCACCTCGAAATCGAATGGGAAGCTCTTTGGCAAGGCACGCTGTATGCGGAAATCGCGAGCTTAAGCGAGAGTTTGTGCCAGGCCGGCAGGGCCTTTTGCCACGCTCTCAACCCTGCCTCTCTTTAAAGATCGCTTTCCAAGAGAAGAAAGAGATATCATGACATCATTATGACACCGCGATACCATAGGCTCGCACCCCGAATAGCACCATCCTCGCTTCGGGTGGTGCCACAGTGCCGGCTTCAGCGCCTTTCGAGATGCATCACGAGCCACGAGTGCTACTGGGTCCACACGAGAACTCGGCCAAGGTAACGAATCCTCAATCAATCCATGCGTCAAACAGGACCATTAGCAATATAATTGCCATTGCAATGCTTTGCAAAGCGGCCAGGAGTCATGGATCTGTGCCACCTGGTCGCCGATCGAGTGAGCAGCGACCCACCACGCCGTCCGGGACTGGACGCCGAGGTGTGAGATTGGAGAATTGAGACAATGCAATTGAGACAATTGAGACAACTGAGACAATTGAGACACTGTGAAATCGTTGAAATCGTTGAAATCGACTTGGCGACTTGGAGATCGGACTGTGAGAGTTGCCGCCAGACGAGCCACGCAGCTCCACCAGCGGCACTTTTGATGGCCGGGTGTCGAGTCTGGTCGAGTCAAGACTCGAGTCTTGGGGGATGTGTGGGACGAGGGGACGATTGGATCGGATCGGAGTTGGATTGCAGGCTTTCGCAGCGCAGATGTCGGGGGCTGAGCGATGGACGCGACGGACACGACGGACGCGACGGGCGCGATGAGGCGAGCACTCGCAGCCGCAGCGTTGCCGGATCGAAAGGCTCCAGGCCGGAGACAAGTCGAGACGCGTTTGCACTGTTTGCACTTTGTCTAAAGTCAGCCTTGCGGGATCTTGTGTCTCGTGTTGGGCAAAGAATATTTGAGCATAGCTTGCCTCTAATTGGAAGTCACGTGGCCCTGGCCCGCGCTTCACTGCTCCCGTTGCTCTTCTAATATGTGAAGACCAAACTTTCTCAATCACGAGCAAGGCCAAGTGCAACTGTTGAATAACAACTTCATGACCACCCAATTCTGACAAGTTCCTCACACTTTGCGTTTGTTTGTTATTGCCAATTCGAATTGCACTCTCCCATGTTCATTGCCGAAGACAGCAAGCATTCAGAAGCGACATGTGATATGCAAGTGTTGCAATCAGCAAGGCTTCACGCGACTGACTGGCACAGGTACGCGACAGCAACTCGTGAAGGCCGGGTGCCGAGACATTTCAACGCGACATACGAGAATCGCATGTTCCAATTCCAGAATCGAATGAGGCCTTAATTCAGGCGGAAGCTCCGGCTCCACCTGCGACAAGTGCGATGGCAAACATCCCACAGAGAGGCTCGGATTGAGCTGAAGCTGTAAAGCTGCTTGATGTTCTGCCGATAGATGATAGGTGCCCGCACTTCCAGAAAGACCGAGAGAAGCACAAGGATGCGTGGGTGCGGAGCTGGACGTTTCGCACCGGACATTCGTTGCACTGCGCACTTGAGGTCAACTACGGGTGCAAGAGCAACCCACATCAGATGGGCGGGAGTGGGGGTAACTTCGTGCTCAGGCGCGCAATGCCGCAATGCACTGCACTTCAGGCGATTCATTGCTTCACGAGCCAGGAGCGCTCGCGTCATCCCTCAACCCGGGGATGGCAATTGCTTGTACCACTCGATGAGCTACGGTGCGGCACCGGGAGCTTGGGAACTGCTGGGTGTTGTGCGGGCCACGAAGCCAAGTCAGTCAAGTAATTCTCAAAAAGCCGCGGTGCATTTTCGCGCAATGCACAAGCTTTTCGGCTTGTCGGCTTTTGCCTGCCAGGCCTGAGGAACTGCACCGCGGCCAGTCTGCGTGCGGGATCACGGACTCGACTCGACTCGACTTGCCTGGAGTGGATGCGATGCGGTGTCGAGGCCGCGAGCTGGCAGACTTCCTGCGCCACAATCCCTCACTGCAAATCGCCGGGGACTCCTTGGAGGACTGTGACAGTCCAGTCCATCAACTTTTCAAGGCGCTTTCGGTGCAGGAGTGGGTCAGATGGGATTCCAACTCCGCCGTAAACGAGTGCGCCGGCCCGGCCGCCCGGCGCCGCCCGGCGCCGCCCGGCGCCGCCCGGCCGGCCTGGTGCCCGCCGCAGGTATACGCGACGCCAAGCGGTGACTGGCTGGGGCGGTGGCATAGAGATGGCGCGCCCGGACCGCTTTTGAAATGTTTGCCTCGCGCTCTTTGCCCGTAGGCGTGCTGCTCGCATTTGAAGAACGTGAACATTCATGTTTATGAAAGTATGGGAAGGCGCGCCTCGCTTCGATAGGTCTTTGTGGGCAAAGAAATGGGACTTTGGTGAGTAAGCCACAGAACGTGCTTTTGGTGGTGAGTGTACCTCATATCATCTCCGTTTCTACATAGTTCATTGTGAACCATTGCCGTTGCTCATGTCCAAAGGCTTTCCTCTGAGTTCAAGCGCATTTCGTGCTTTGACGCGCCGAATGCAGTGTGGCCCCCGGTCTGACTTCAGAGGACTGTGTCATGTCACGTAGCTCAGGAGCGAACCATCCATGTCACTGCCTAAGACTTTGGGCAGACGAGAGAGCGCTGCATTGGGTCACGGGGTCTTGCGGTGTGGGGCAGCGTGTGAGGTACTCTACCAGGGCGGCCTGCACTATGACGCGCTACAGCCCTTGTGATTTCCCTAACTTGGCCACTTGCGAGTGATGCAAGTTTTCTTCTTTTTTTAATTGGCAAAGAAGTTCGTGCAGGCGAGATTCTATCGGCTGTGTGCCAAGTTGGCCGATGCTTGGCCGTGCATGCCACGTCCATGCGTCCCCCAAGAGGCCAATCAAGCGCCTCAGAACAGAGATCAGGGTGCCGGAAGCCAATGCAGCCTGGTAAGCTGGTGCCTCCTGGAGTGCTGGCGTGGCTTCTGGGCTAGTCCAAATGGTTGCGATTGGTGGGGAGTATTTTGGCCCTTTTTGTTGGGAATTCGGAACATCTTTTTATGACCGGTTGCAACCATTGCCCAAGCTGCGGATGTTTGGGCTTGAAAGGAGCATCCTGCAGTTTCACAGTTGTGGGCTATGCCGAAGGCGCCAGTCCACAATAGTCTGTCATTTCGGGAGGCTGTTGATTTATCTACAAGCTAGATGCGATGCTTAGATGCTTTGCTTCTGAGTCGAGAAGCGTTAGCTGGTTTTCTGAGTCTGGCCTCCAAGCGCTTTGTGAGACACTCCAAGTCTCGCTTGCTTCGGAGTTTCGGCCGCGTGCGGGGGTCGCACGGTGCGAGAAGGCTCCTCAGACAAGAGCGCGTTCGGAGCCAAGCCCGAACAAGGCCCCTGATGGACTGTCAGACCATACCACGCATTTGCCATGGTGCATTGTGCGCATTGTGTGTTTGATTTCCCATCATTTCCCAATCCAGTTCCGCCCCAGAGGGCCTTGGAGCCTCCCTCCGTTCTGGCCAAGGCCAGTCGGGTCTGATTTTCCACAGTGAGCATTGTGGACGTTTTCGGGTCAGCTGCGCGGCGACCGGACACGAAGCAAGGAGGCGTGTTGCCGCGCAGTTGACTGAAGGCTCGTCAAATACACAGTCCCTTCTCAAAGAGTTCTGAGGTGGACTGAACCAACGCACTGGTGTCGCCTTATAAAAAGCGGGCAGACTCTGGTGCCAATCCTTCACGTGCACAAGCGCGCAAGTCTAGATGTTAACTTTGCATTGCATCAAAGTGAGTGCACATGCACAAGCAAGAACAAAGGCAATTCCTTCTGTATTGTATCGGCACGTAGCTGTGCTCCATCCAAATCACACTGAGCCTCCAGCCTGCACAACTTTGTTTGAGCCCTTCACTCGGTTCAGATCTCAATTGAAAGCGACTCTTCCACTCACATCGATCATGAGCACGGGTCGAGATGCCGGGGCCTGCCCCGCGCTCAAAACAAATCACGCAGGCCTCTGGAATTGCTGAGACAAGGACCAGGAACACATGAGCTCCATGAGCTCCATGAGCTCCATGGACTGCGAGGTCGAAATTTGGAGTGTGGAAAAAGGGAAGCGTCGAGGGTCTTGCAGCCTGGCAGGTGTCCATTGAGCTGCCCCCTGGCAAGGCGCATGCCGAAAAGTCCGATTGCGGTCACTGGAGGTGTGAAGCTGTCCGTACCCGACGTGGCCTGGACAGCCTGGACAGCCTGGACACTCAGGCAAGGGTACGGAAGGTTCGGAAGGGCACAGGAACATGCGAATTGCCTGAGTAAAAGAGCACAGGTAGACGAAGAGAAGGGACAGGACCGGTGCGGGGTTTGGTGCCATCGCTGGCCTTTCAAACGCAAGGAGATCCAGGAGTTCCCGCGCCCCGCTGGCCAGGTGCGCTTTTTCTCGGACTCGAGTGACAGTGACAACAGAGGTGGCCACCGTCCTGTATTTGGCTCTTGCTCTTGGACATTTGCTTCTCATACAAGCTGCTCAGCTTCATTTGCAGCGGGGTGCTCCCCCTTGGGTTTCCCCTGAGGTGCAATGGCAGGGAACTGCCACGGAGGGCAGCCTCTTTCTGGTTCTCAGCGGCTTGCAGGCCGGCGCAAACTGCCAGCATCCCACCCCGGACCGGTGACTGAGGTGTGCCTTGCCTTTGAAGCCGCGGTCTACGCTGCGGGTGGCTTTTCGTGGCGCATGTCTCACTTCATACAGATTCTCATTTGGTCCATGTCGGTCGATTTCGGCGGAGGCTGCCCTTTCTGGAAGCCGCTGGCCGCATGCGGCTGCTGCTGGGTGCCACAGCCTGGGATGCTCGGCGCAATTTCACGGGACGGGTGCTGCATGCCGTGCTGCTGCGCTGCCGTGCTGCTGCGCCTTTCTTCGTTTGACCTTCATGCGCCTTCCAATTTATTCAATGCAGTGCACTTCGGAACGAGCCCGTCGCTTCTTTCGATCTCGACTCGAGTTTCCGAAGGCCTGGCTGCTGCCCTGGGCCGCGGAGCTGCACTGCCGCTGCCGGCCTGCGCCCGGCACGGCGCTGCTGGCGACGCAGCAAGGCGCGGGGACAGCTCAGGGGGAAAACGCGGGAAGACACGGAGGAGACCTGTTTGGTCTTTCTGAGGATATGCGCTCGCCTACTTTGTGAGCGCCTTCTTTGTTGGCACCCAAGCACGTCGCTGCTTTTTTGCTTTTCTGAATCTCATCCGAAGCTATCCCAAGGCCTTGCGAGAGATTTGCTTTGTGCTGCGTGGTGAGCCACCATCAGCTCTGGACAGGCTTGGTGTGGCGGGACAAATGTGAGACTCCAGACCCCTGGAAGACGCGTTGAGCGGCTTGTTCCAGAGCCCACCAACATATTCAAGAGCAGGGTGTAAAATGACCAGAAGGAGACAGCGTCTGATAGCGCATGACAGTAGTGACGGGCCCCCAGGATCAATTTGAGGCCACCACCCGCAAATTAGTACCGGTGTGAGAACCCCTTCCAGGGCAATTGGTGCAGGTCGCAGCAGCCGCGCTTGGGAGACTGCCTTCCGAGCAACGCAGTGCTTGGGGGGCAGTTCCGCTTGGACAAGGCAGGCTGTCGGAAGGGCCGCCTATGCTTCGCTGCCTCGCAGTCTTGCAGTCTGATTTTCTGTTTCATTTTTTCATTTGTTCATGTCCAGTTCTTTCTTGTCCAGATTTTCTTGTTTAGGCTGAGCTGGAGGAGACTGGGAGGGCCGTCTTCGTGCCGTCGCGCGCACGTGCATCCCTCAAAGCTTTGGGAGCGAAGTGAGTTGCCGTTTTAACATTTGCTGTGCGTTGCGTTTTGCCGTGTTTCTGCTGTTTCACCCTGGCAATCGGTTTGACAAAGTTAAGACCAAGCCAAAAGGATGGGTGGACTTGGGCTCGAACAAAGTGGATTTATTTCAACGCTTTGTGATACAGCCGACCGGCAATCGGATTTGGAGGGCACTCGGCTAGATTGTGAAACATCGCTGAACAATCGGCTCGCCTTCACAAATCCGCAAATCCTTCGCTGGGCCCATCTATGTTCCAGCAATTGTCCATCAACTGTCCATCCATTTTCCACGGATGTTTCCATACATGTTCCATCCATTGTGCATCTATGTTCCATATGTGTCCACCTTTTGTCCATCCACTTTCCATCATTTTTCTCCATTTTCCGTCAAGTTTCCATCACATGTTCCATCCATTTTTCCTCAATTTTCCATCCGTTGCCATCCACATTTCGCTGCAATTCCCCACACTTCCCTCTACTAGCCTGGACAACACCTGGAGGATGTTGTCCACTTTACCCCCACTTTTTGACTCTGCGCGGGGAGACACAAGTCCTTCGCTCCATATGGCGCGCGGGCGCGGGTGATTTTCCGCGGATTTTTGCGCTGCTTCTGGGGGTGCGCTTTCTGGCATGTTTGGGCCGGCTTTTGGGTTTTGGGTCTGCAGGCTTGGGCTTGTGAGTCTGCAGGCCAGTGCCGGTGATGCAGATGATGCTGGGTATGCTGGGGATGTCGGCCTTGCTGTTGTTGCTGCTGCTGCTGTTGGTTGTTGATGATGATGATGAAATCTCAAAGTCTTAAAATCTCAGAATAGTGGAATCTTAAAATATTACAATTTTACAATGATAGAATCTGAATATATTAAAATCCTAAAATTTTAGAATTTTAAAAGCTTATCGTCGAAAAAATATATAAGCTAATCGTATCTTAAAATCTTCAAATCTGAGTATCTTAACATCTAAAAATCTGAACACCTAAAAAGCTGAACACATTAGAATCTTATGATCTTAAAATCGTAAGATCTTTAAATCTTAAGACTTTAAAGCCTCGAAATCTAGATATGAACAAATTTAAGGGCTGCCGCCCTGTGCCGCCGGCCCCTGCTTGCTGACAGGGGACGTTGTTATGACAATTTTGGCTACGCATTTTTTGTCTGGTTTCACGGCACACTTAAAGCATATATGAAAAAGAAGAGCAGCACGACAATGATGATGTTGCATTGTTTCCCCAACATTAGGGATGCTGATAATTATTACTATGCATGTGCATTATCGCCAGCAGTTATGATGATATTTGTTACTTTGCATTTTTAGCGTCACCAGCAGTTGTTCTGATAATTATGACGACGCATTCCATTCCCTGCATCTCAAACAAGCCACTGCGGGATAAATTCGCATGATAATAAGCACCTTGTTGAATTTTACAAGAAGTGCCCCGGGTGTGTGGAAACTCGGGCAGGAAAACCATGTTGGGGTTCGCGAGAAGTAAGCCGTTAGGAACACCTCGGGATGCAATCAGATGGTGATGGTGATGATGATCATGATGATGATAAACTATGCACCCCCGGCATCACCAGCAGATATTATGACAATCATGACTACACATCCCCTGAATCTCAAGTCAGGTCTAACGACACACTTGAAATGTATGTGAAAAAGAAGAACGTGATGAGGAACATGATGATGCAAATGAGAATGATGATGATGAACACCACCATCATCATCATCATGTTCATCATCATCATCATCATCATCATCATCATCATTTTCATCATCATGTTCATCATCATGTTCATCATCAGCATCATCATTTTCATCATCAAGTTCCTCATCATGTTCCTTATCATGTTCCTCATCATCATCATCCTGATTATAATCACCAGCAGCTAACGTCATCACTATGCATCCCCAGCATCAGCAGCAGTTATCATGAAAATCATGACAACGCATCCTCTGCATTTCCAGTCGGGTCTAACGGCACACTTGAAATGTATATGAAAAAGAAGAGCGCCGCATCATCCTGATGATAATCATCGCTACGCATCCTCAGCATCACCAGCAGTTAACGTCATCACTATGCATCCCCAGCGTCGGCAGTTATCACATCATGACAACGCATCCTCTGCATTTCCAGTCGGGTCTAACGGCACACTTGAAAGATGAACACGATGAGGAACATGATGATGATGAACATGAGCATGATGATGATGAACGTGATGATGAAAATGATGATGATGATGATGATGGTGATGATGAGATGAACATGAACATGAACATGATGATGACGAACACCACCATCATCACTTTCATCATCATGTTCATCATCATCACTACGCATCCTCATTATCACCAGCATTTAACGTCATCGTGGCAACGCATCCTCTGCATTTCCAGTCAGGTCTAACGGCACACTTGAAACGTATATGAAAAAAGAAGAGTGCCGCGGGAATGATGATGATCCGGATGCTGTGAACCATCAACCAACATCAGTGGTGATGATAATCATTGCTAAGACAAGGACAAAGACAAACCCTTCCCATGAGAGAAAGGGGTCGGCGGACTAAGTATATAGCCACAGTAAAGATGTGTGTATATGAATAACCATCATATCATATCACACAAACTATATGGGGCGCAAGTACTTCTAATTCCTTGACATTCTGTCCTTTTCCATTCGTTTTGTCTGATATTCAAGGAATGGAGGGAAAGATACCAACGTAAAGACGGATCTGATAGGTAAAGGGTACCAGCTGAAAAGAAATGTAAAACCACATGACACGTGTTTCTCTTTCTCTTGTCACAATCAGAATGTCCTGCACTTGGGGTTGCTAACGCTCCAAAAGAAACGGCAGACAGCAAATATGGATTCATCATCACTGTCTCTTCTTGGCTCGTAATTGGATGATTTATAAGTGGACTCTCCTAGTTTTATCCTAGAGTCATAACATGGATGCCAGCAAGCCCTGATGATGATGATGATGATGACGCTGATGATGGTGAAGATGGTGATGTATGATGATGATGATGATGATGATGATGATGATGATGATGATGATGATGATGATGATGATATGACTAAAATGATGATGATACATGATGTTAAAACTCATGACAAACTATGACGAAAAAGATGAAACATATAATGATGAAGATCCTCATTCTTGCACATAGAACTAAAAAGTCAGGTTAGGCCCCATTTGCAATGCAAGGGATGTTCCGATGATAGTCATCAAGACGCAGATGGTGATGCAGAGGATGCAGAGTTTCCAGAAACCTAACCTGTTTAATTACGGCTCGGTTCGGTTTCTCATCTGAAATCGGTTCGGTTCGGTTCGGTTACTATGGTATTTTTTCGGTTCACGGATGATTGCACTGTGCCACTTCCAGCCGCGCGCCACACTCTTAGCCTCGGCGTGCCAGCCTCCTGTCTCTATCACAAGGCACTCATTAACACTTTCAGCACCACCTCCATCCCCAACTCCACTTTCACAGCCTCACCTCCAGCCTGCCTGCAGCCTCACCAGCCTCGCCTCCAGCCTCACCTCCAGCCTCATTTTCAGCCTCACCTCCAGCCTGCCTGCAGCCTCTCCACCCCCAGCTGCACCTCTCCCCTTCAACCTCACCAGCCTCACTTCCAGCCTTACAACCTCCTCCAGCCAGCCTGCTGCTTGCAGCACCTTCACCTCCAGCCTCACCTCCAGCCTCGCCTGCCTTCCCACACATCCCCCTCTTCAGCCTCACCAGCATCATCCTCACCAGCCTCACCTTCGCTTTCACCTCCAGCCCCACCACCTTCACCTCCAGCCCCACCACCTTCACCTCCAGCCTCACCTGCCTCCCCTTCAGCCTCACCAGCATCCCCTCCAACCTCACCTCCAGCCCCAGCACCTTCACCTCCAGCCCCACCAGCCTCACCTGCCTCCCCTTCAGCCTCACCAGCATCCCCTCCAACCTCACCTCCAGCCCCACCACCTTCACCTCCAGCCTCACCTGCCTCCCCTTCAGCCTCACCAGCATCCCCTCCAACCTCACCTCCAGCCTCACCAGCCTCACCTCCAGCTTCACTCTCACGCTCCAGCCAGCGTCTGCCCAGCCTCACTTCCAGCCTCACCTCACCAGCCACCTTCACTTTCCAGCCCTCCAGCCTCTGCCTCCCCTTCAGCCTCACCAGCATCCCCTCCAGCCTCACCTCCAGCTTCACCTTCAGCTCCACCACCGCTCTCACGACCCAGCCGTCTGCAGCCTCGCCAGCCTCACTTCCAGCCTCACCAGCCTCACCTCCAGCCTCATCTCCAGCCTCAGCTCCAGCCTCACTTCCAGCCTCACTTCCAGCCTCACCGATTACCTTTAGCCTGCCTCCAGCCTCACCAGCCTCACCTCGCTTTCCAGCCCGACCCACCACTTCACCGCCACCGTCAGCTAGCAGCCATACGCGCAGCTTCACCTCCAGTCTCATCAGCTCAGTCCCGCCAGCAGATACCTTCCCCCAATATGTTGGTTGAGCAAGGGCAAGGGCCTTGAATGCATCACAGCCTGCCCTGGGCTGCTGAAGTTTAGTTTTGTTTAGCAACCTGGGAGATTGCTTGTACTTGAGCCTACTCCAGAGGGACCACTTATGTCTTTGGACCCTGTCCAGCTAAATGACTGGCTCTCTGGTCAGCATGGCTATGTAAGAGCAAATTGTTAGCATTTTGGCTGAAGTTGCATTCTGGCTGCTCGCCAAGCTCTAAACCTAACGATTGGGTTGTTTTCCTCTGGATTCGATTCCTGGGTTCCCTGAGGATGCTACGACGATAATTAGGAGGCTGCGGACGGCGCAACTGATGTTAGACATCGCTGGGGGTGAAGGGGACGGTGATGATAGTCATCACCACCGCCTCGATCATCATCATGATCATCATCATGATCATCATCGTCATCACCATCGTCATCATCCATCATCATCCGTCATCATCTTGATCATTTTCATCGTCGTTTTCGTCATAAGTTTCATCGTCATGCCGTTTTCATTTTATCCTCACTTCCCAATGTATCTAATGTATATATAAGCTAAGGCCAGGATGATGATGACGATGATGATGATGATGATGCCCGTCCCATGCGCCTCGCCCTTGCAGCCAGGGGCTTGTACCGTCGGTTTCGAGAAAACGTGTCAGAGTTTCCTTGTCTCTTTCCGCAGTTTCCGACCCAAACCGTTCGATTCGATTGCTCTTACTCGGAGTGCGTTCTGAGGCTCTGGCCTGGGCATCTCCTCGGGCCTTGCGCGCCGGAGATTCGGGGATTCGGGGGTTTGGGCCGAAAGCCGGAAGAAAGGGAGAGAAGGAAAGAAAGGGAGAGAAGGAAAGAAAGAGAAGATGGAAGAAGCACAAAGAGCAAAGAAAACGGAGCTGTTGCCTTCAGGCGCTGGTGGCACACCTGGCCGCGGGCCTGGCCCTGCGTCCCAGCGGCTGGCCAGGCTGGCTGCTGTCCGGTGGCCTCGTGGCTCTCCTGGCGCGGAGGTCGGAAAGTCGGAAAAGTCGTGAGCCATGGGGCATGGGCCGCATGGGGTATGGGGTGTGGTCGTTTTCGGTGCAAACCGATCGAACCGAAGGTTTGGCACCGTGTGGGACTTGTGGGACGCCAAGGGCTCCAAGCTGGGCGCGCATGAGGCGCGCTGCCGTGCACGAATCTCCGCATTGCTCCTTTTGCAGGTGCCACGCTTGGTTTGCCGGGCTGGCGAGTTCTGCTGGCTGCTGTGTGCTCTGTGGCAGCTGTGCCTGGGAAAGCAATTTTGCCAGGCGTTGTTTTTGTTTTGTTGATATGATTAATATTGATGAATATAATTGCGTGTTTTGTATCAGTCGAAACGAGCCACGCAGCTTGCTGCCTTCGAGGCGGGCGTGCGAAGCGGAAGCTGGCGGAGCCCTCGCAGAGTGCAAATGACCGAGTGAGCCGCGACGTTCGACGTGCAGAGTGTGCAAAGAAGAGAGTCGGAGAGTCGAGAGTATGGGCAAACAACATTTCGTTGCTGCTTTTCTATGTTTTTCTTTTCCCACCCCAGCCACTGCACTGGAAGCGCATGCAGCTCGGCCCCCTCAATCTCAGCAGGAGAAGACCCTCCATCAGCTCCTGGCAGAGCCATGGGACATGAGGGCCCTGGTTTCAGGGATTCAGAAAATCATAGCATTTCGTTCAACACCTCAAGTTAGTGTGAGACTTTTTTGTTGCAGATTAAACTGGAGAGGCGGGCCGCCTGTTCTGTGAAAGTATGCCAGCTAGTTGCAGCAGGCAAATGCACATGAGCTGCGGGCTTTGGTAAAAAAAGAAGAAGAAGAAGCAGTGCCGGGTATCACGAGGGCTCATTCATGTAGGTTGCATGTGCTGTTGCATCCGGTTGCATGTGCTGAGCGGTTGCGCACCAGGAAGGCCACGATTCAGATTGCAGCTTGAATCCCTCTCCGCCGGGCTTAGCTTAGCACGGGGTCGAATCCGGGCCTGAGGCAGTTTGCGTCATCGGCAGTTTGCATTTGCATTGAGCCGGGAAAGCTTGAAGACTTTGAAGACTTCGAAGAGGTATGCCGGAGATTTGGCTGGAGAAGTACCGGCCGGTGAAGTTTGAGGTCGCCGCCTTTCAGGGCTTTGAAATCGGCATTGCATCGGCAGGATGTGGTTGGCAATGCCGGCGCCGTGTCTATACTTCGCTCCCACGCAGCGGCAGGCGCAGCTCCGCCGCGCATCCGCGTCACGTTTTGAAGACGCGCGCAGGCACCTTCCCGCACTTGCTGCTGTCTGGACCGCCTGGCTGTGGAAAGACCACCGTGGTGCACTGCCTGGCAAGGCCAGGCAAGGCCACGCGGACATGCGGCCATGCCATGCGTGCTCCGTTTGTTCGGCTGTCAGGGAACACCTGGGCTCCTTCTATGAGCAGGGCTGCATCGAGCTGAATGCCTCCGATGACCGAGGGATCGACGTGGTCCGCGAGAAGATCAAGGAGCGACGCCAGGATTCGCCCCAATTCGAGCCGGTACCCGAGAGAGCCGAGAGAGCTGAGAGAGCTGAGAGAGCTGAGAGCCCGACCTCCAGGGCTTCGCGCAGCAGAAGGTCTCTCTCCCCGAGGGCAAGCTCAAGGTGCCTTTCTTTTTTTTCACTGCATTCGTGGCTTCATACGCTAGGTCATCATACTGGATGAGGCTGACAGCATGACGCAAGCGGCACAGCAGGCTCTGCGCTTTGTCTGCGTTGCATGCTACATGCGCGTACATCTTGCAAGACTTGCACACCTTCAACGCCGGCTGGGCATCTGTGGCCAGGCCATGAGGCGGACGATGGAGATTTTCAGCGCATGGCCCAGAGTAGCTCACAAGAAACTCGAGAGAGTGAACACCCGGAGGTCAGACCACCCGCTTTGCTTTGGCTTGCAACATCTCCTCAAAGATCATTGAGCCAATTCAGCTGGATGCTCAGATGCTCAGATGCTCAGTTGCTCAGATTCTCAGATTCTCAGAGCTCATGCTTGTGAACGCAGGTCCCGCTGCGCCATCTTGAGATTTGGCCGCATCTCGGACGAGGCGGATCCCGGATGTGTTTCTCGTTAGATGTCCAAAGCAAACGTCTCAGGACATGATCCAGAGGCTGAAGTTTGTGTTGGAGAAGGAAGGAGCCCCGTGCGCCATGTCGAGCATTTGACAGCCAGTTTGTCCCGCTGAGCTTAGGTACGACCAGTCTGGGCTTGAGGCTTTGGTTTTCTCCGCAGAGGGCGACATGCGCAATGCCTTGAACGGGGCACAGCTAGGGCCGTAGATCAGTGTGTCCTTGAGCTGGACTCTGGACTCCAAACTCCGGACTTCCAGGTCTACGTTCAATGCCTTCGGCGAGATCAACCGGAGCACCGTTTTCAGGCACGCGAGCTGTCAGAACCTGAGCCTTGGCCTGCCCTTCGCAGGATGAATGACCAGCCCCAGCCGGAGAAGATCCGTAGTTGTTTGGATGCCAGCTTGAAGAAAGACATGAAGGCGGACCGGCGGAAAACGAAACGCCTTGACATGTTGGATGTCTATGTCCTTTTTCGTATCTGCTTTTGAGTCGTGTGATGTGCGCAGTTAGCTGGAAATGGCAGGGCACCTTTGCTCCCATGCACGAGATCTGGCAACAAGGGTACAGCGCCACGGACATCATCTCCACCTTCTCGCGCGAATCACAGCTCCGAGTTTGCACGTCGTGAGCATGTGCGTGAGCACAGATGGCTCAGGCGAGTGGCCAAGCAGATGGATGCCCCGGAGCACGTGAAGCTGGAATGGCTCAAGGAGGCAGACTTCGATTTCTGGGCTCCAAACACCAGATTGCCTCTTTCCGGCTTGGCTTGCAAGGTGCACGGGTATTCAGTCTTTGGTCCTGCATTAAACAAAGATTCAACTGCAAACACGCTGTGAACCAGTGTAAACCCGCCTAAGGCAAGCCCGTTGGCAGCAAGCTTGAAAGCAACCCGACACCAGAAATTCCCAATCAAAGCAATCGATCTCCACCCTTAAGCCACCCTAGGACAGATGTAAAGACTGAGCTGACAGCAGTCAGTCTCACGCCCACCCGAAGCCCTTCCCTAAGCTACATTGACCTAAAGCTGTCGATCGAACACCCACCCCCTAAACCCCATCACAACTTTCTAAGCGTGAGCACACTCGAAACCACCATAAGCCATCCCTAGAATTACTCTGCCTGCCAGAACCAATCGGAAGTTATCCCAAAGCTTTTAACAAAACCCCTCCGTCAATGGCCCGTAAAGCCGTCAAAGATCAACGTTTTCAATCAATCCTTCTGCTAACACAAAGTCACTGATAGGTTTGACATCCCTAAGTTCTAAGTCCGCCTGAAGCCGAGACCGCAATCTCAAACCACCTTTCACCAGTTTTGATCCCACCCTACGCCCAGCCCAAGGGAAAGAGAAGCCTTCTGCCCGTTCCGAATTCCACAAGGGGCCATGCTTCGCCAGATTGGGCTCACTCACGCGCGTGTCACGGCTGGTGCTCAAAACCTTTTGCAGCTGGACGCAATGGCCGCGACCTTGGACTGGACATCCGACTCTTCGACTCTTCGACTCTAGCTCTCGAAGCCGGATTGGTCTGAGGTGGCCAAGATACTGTTGGTCTCGCAGAAAGGCCAAGATGGAAGCCAGAGAGGGCCCAGCACTGGATCGTTGCGCAGGTTGAGACGCTTCAGCGGCGCCATCACAAGCTCCATGTTCGGGATGCCGAAATGCAGGCCACAAGCATGCTGACCGTGGGGAGACGGCCCAGTGCGCGCAACTCAGCGAGCGCATTTTGTCGAGACGGCGCTTTTGACAAGGTGCGCTTTTCCCAAGAGCCAAGGTGCGAGGTGGAAGTTGGGTGGGAGGAAGCACCTGCCAGCCCAACGTGGGGGGTGTTAGACTGTAGGTTGGAGGCAGTCCGACGTGAACTTAGTCTGGGAAGCATGGAAAAGGACGGTGTCGGCTTCGCTTTGGTATTTGGGCAAAGCTTCACAGCCTTCCGGTCTGCCTGCCACTGGCCTTGGGAATCTTGGCTCTCAGCGCCGTGAAGAGACGGCGGGACCCGGCACGTGCGCAACTCCGCAACTCATTCCATGGTGCATGTGACATTCGCTTCTTGCGGCTTTAGGCAAGATGTTAGGCTGGGACACCGACCGAGTGGGAGAGTGAGAGCCAAGTTCACGGAAGGTCCAGGGAGGTCCCGGGAGTCACGGACCGACAGGTCGGAGGTCGGTATTTTGGTTTGCAAGGCGCCTCGGTGAACAAGGCGAAGATCATTTGTGCGGGCCTCAGATCTTCAGAGCCTCGAGAGCCCTCGAGAGCCTCGAGCCTCGAGAGCCCTCGAGCTCGCTCGCTTTCAGGTCAGCAGTGCCTCGCCCCGGGCCATTGGACCTACGAGTGCAAAAACGGGAGCACCTACCAGGCCGAACCGAACTCGAACTCGAAGGACTCGAAGGACTCGAAGGGAGAAGAGAGACAGGTCCGAGCCAGCGCCAGCCGGCAGCTGAAGCAGAAGAGGTTCAAACAGGCCTTCCTCGAAGAAGAGGAGCCAGCTTGAGCTTCGCTTGGATGCTTGGCATATGCTTGGCATACGCCTTCCTTTTGCGCACAGGCACCTGATGTGCCCTTCAACGCCTTCCTAGGCTTAGAACTTTGACTGTCGGACCATGTCGGGCCGTGTGATGGGGCAAGGTGACGATCGGCTGCGCTTTGGTCAAAGGTGCCAGAAGCTTTCCATTCCCACTCGGATGATCTTGTTTTGGTAGGAAAGAGGCCGCAGCGCAACCGGAGAAAAAGCAGAAGACAGAGAAGGCTTCAGCACCGGCATGGTTCAGCATAGGCTTGTCACACCTATCAGGACGAGAAGGAGAAGAAAGAGAAGAAGAAGAAGAAGGAGCCCGCAGCCCAGCTTGGCGATGTGTTCCGCGTTTTCCGCGCTTTCCGCTCATCTCAGGTCCTCCTCGAGCTCCAGTGACTCAAGTGACAGCTCGTCCTCAAGCTAAATGAGTGCAAAAAGAGCGCTTGGGGAGCACAGAGTCCAAGACTTTGCAAGGGTTGGGCACACATTTGAAAGATAACAAGCCCAGGGCATGTCCAACCGGTGCTAGATGGCATCCGTACCTGGATCATTCGGATCGACCTCTCCGCAGACACGCTGCAGATCGAAGCGTTTCACGCGAGCCCGGCACGCCGACATTTTCATGGGCGACCTTCGTTGAACGCATCGAGGGCATGGAACGCATGATCCGGTTGCTGTTCTTCAACCTGGGTGCAGCCGCACTTGGGCCGACCATTCGCCACTCGGGCCGAAGCCAAATTGCCTTGGGAAGGCAAGGAGGTTCGGTCGATGCCAGGTGCTCATCCCAGCCTCTGGGCGTTGCAGCGCATCGCTGAGCAGCACTTAGGCCAGTTTCAGGATCCGTCGGCGTCGGCCATGCGCATCATGCGCATCTCTCTGTGAAGTTTTGAGAGAATTCCACGCAGCTCATCAGGAGAATTCCTCGCTGCTGGTGGCTTTGGGCGCAGTGCCTGAAGCTCGCCGCTCGGATGAAATGGGGCGATGTCCCAGTGAATAACTGTTTCGGACAAGCCGGCAGTCCTTCGGCCTTACCAGCTCAGGCGAGCTGGTCACCAAGGCAGAGGTGGAGAGACTGGCGCCTGACGCATTTCTCCTGCGCTCACGGAATGTCGCGCAGCAGACGGTGGTGGCGTGTGCAGGGAGGAGCGAGCGACTTGAGGGACCTGCGCCATTCCTTGTTTCCTTCAAATTGGTTTGAGCTCAAGCTAGCATAGCTCAGAGCTTACATTTCGAATAATATGTTTCATACATGCGTTCACCTCTCCATTTGCATCCGACGGATCCGAATAAATCCGAATAAATGCACCGTCTTCCGTTGGTTTTCCGAATTCCCGTTTTGGTTTTCTCGACTCGAGGAGCGCGCGGGCGGTGGGCTACGCCTTCTTCGAGCTGCTGCAGCTCCTGGGCTTCGGCTTCCTCCACCCGCTGCTGCCCGCCACTCCGAGACGGGCGGGCGAGGCAAAGCCTGGAGAAGTCGGAGATGGAGAAAGTGAGAGAGAATGAGAGAAAGTGATAGAAAATGAGAGAAAATGCCCAAAGTCAGAGTCAACTTGAGAGAAGTGCGGGGAAGTCGAGAGTGAGTCGTGTCGAGAGTGTACAAGTGACATCAAGTGACCCAAGTTGCCCTTTAGCTGAGGTGGTGCCCAGCGCGCTGCCTGAGCTGCGTGTGGAAGTCCATGAGACACCTCGCTGGGAGTTTCGAGGCCTTGAGAGCCTTGAGAGCCTTGAGAGCCACATGAGACTTGAGAGAACATGACGGAATAGGCACGCACTACCACACCCAGCATCCTCTGGAGCTCACGAATTTGCTGAATGGCTACGATGGCAGCGGCCAGACGGATTGCAGGCAGTGCTGGGCCAAAGGCCTGAAAGCCTGGCAGGACGGGAGGACGTTAATGAGAAAGGAGGGCAATCCAAGAAGTTGGAAAGTTGGAAAGTGCAGGATTACTTGGACTGGATGATGGCACAGAAGCAGAACTACATTGAGTGGATGCTGTTGGCTGACCGCCACAGCTCGAAGGCAAGCGGAAGTCGAGTTCGGGGTTCAGTTCCCTTCCTTGGCCGGCCTTGGGCTTGGGCTTGGGCCCTTTTTCCCTTCAGGCCCTTCAGGCCTCCCGATTATGGCCCTGGCGCTTTCTTCCCCTTTTTAGGCCCTTTAGGCCCAGGCCGAAAGCCTTTTAGGCCCTTCAGGCTTTTTAAGAACGGAGGGCCATGTTCTTTGTGTCTTTTTCCTGATTTGTTCAACAGTGTTTTTCCTGGGTTATCTGGATTAATAGCTTCTTAGCTTTTGGCTTTTGGCTTCTGTTTCTGTTTGGCTTCTGTGGCTTTTGGTGACTTTGTGTGGCCTTTGTGGCTTCGGCTTTCCGCATCCTCAGCATCACCAGCAACACTTCAGCATCGCCGGCTTTTTGCTTTTTGGACTTTTGGTGGCTTCTTGGCTCCGAGGTTTCTGCAGATGGGGGGCTCGGCGACTAGACCCACGTTTTGGCAACACAACCACCCTAAACCAACCCTAAACCACTACTAAACCCACCCTAACCGCCACCAAAGCTGGAACCTCAGCCAGCCCTAAAGAAACCAAAAACCAGCAAGATTCCGTAAACCAGCACAGGATTATCCCTGAACAACTCTAAACCTGCCCTAAAACCAACCCTAAACCCCCAACCACCCCAAGCGAATCCTGAAACCCACCCTAACCCCACCCAAAGCCAACACCATCTCTAATTAGCCCACCTTGCCACCCCCCCCCGAAGCAAGCCCCATACCAACCCTAACCCCGCACTAAACCCACCCCAAAGCAACCCTTAACAAGCCCAAAGCAAACCCTACACCAGCCGCCCCCTACCGCCCCAAACAAGCCAAGCCAGCACTAAACCATGCCACCCTAAGAACACCTATAAGCCAACTCTAAACCCACCCTAAGCCCTAAATCCACCCTAAACCAACCCCAAGAAGACCACCAAAAACCGGCACTGAACCATCCCAGTACCTAAAGCGTAGCCCCTAAACCCAACCTTTCAATGACAACTCGTGATGCTGAGGATCTGAAGAAAATCCTGAGAAGACAGAAAATCCAGGAAAAACATCAAAGCACAACGGGGACAATTGCCAAAACATCCGGACCCTTTAAGAACTTTTAGTTCCTTTAGTTCCGGCACACCCTTCAGGCACTTTACGACCTTCAGGCCCTTCATGCTTTTTAGACATTTTAGCTCTTCAAGCGCCTTGGCACCTTCTAGGCCCCTTCTAGGCCCTTTCTAGGTCCTTTCTAGGCCCTTGCAACCCGCCCCAGACCCTTTCCAGGCCCTTTCTAGCCCTTCTAAGCCCTTTCTAGGCTCTTGCAACCCGCCCCAGACCCTTTCCAGGCCCTTTCTAGCCCTTTCTTTTCTGGCCCTTCCAACCCGCCCCAGACCCTTTCCAGGCCCTTTCTAGCCCTTTCTAGGCCCTTCTAGGCCCTTTCTAGGCCCTTTCTAAGCCCTTTCTAGGCCCTTGCAACCCGCCCCAGACCCTTTCCAGGCCCTTTCTAGCCCTTTCTAGGCCCTTCTAGGCCTTTTCTAGGCCCTTTCTAAGCCCTTTCTAGGCTCTTGCAACCCGCCCCAGACCCTTTCCAGGCCCTTTCTGAGCCCTTTCTAGGCCCTTGCAAGGCCCTTCTAGGCCCTTTCTAGGCCCTTTCTGAGGGCCTAGAACCTTTCGACGAGAAGGAGGCCTAGAAAGGGGCATAGAAGGGCGTGGAAAGAGCCTTGGAAAGTGCCTAGAAATGGCCTAGAAAGAGCCTAGAAACGGTCTAGAAAGGGCCTAGAAAGGGTCTAAAGGGCCTAGAAAGGGCCTGGAAGGGGCCCAGAAAGGGCCTAGAAAGGGCCTAGAAGGGGCCTAGAAAGGGCCGCCTAGAAAGGGCCTAGAAGGGGCTTAGAAAGGGCCTAGAAATTGTCTAAAGAAACTAGAAGGGGCCTAGAAAGGGCCTAGAAAGGGTCTAAAGGGGCCTAGAAAGGGCCTAGAAAGGGCCTAGAAAGGTTCTAGAAAGGGCCCATTGCAACCCGCCCAGACCCTTTCCATGCCCTTTCTAGCCCTTTCTAAGCCCCTTCCAGGCCCTTTCTAGGCCCTTTCTAGGCCCTTTCTAGGCCCCTTCTAGGCCCTTTCTAGGCCCTTTCTAGGCCCTTTCTAGGCCTTTTCTAGGCCCTTTCTAGGCCCCTTCTAGGCCCCTTCTAGTCCCTTTCTGGGCCTTTGCTGGGCCCTTGCTGGGCCCTTTCTAGGCCCTTCTAGCCCTTTCTATGCCCCTTCTAGGCCCTTTCTAGGCGGCCCTTTCTGACCTTTTCTAGACCCTTTCTAGGCCCCTTTCTAGGCCCTTCTAGGCCTTTCTAGGCCCCTTCTAGGCCCTTTCTAGGCCCTTTTAGCAGCCCTCCTACGGAAAGAACCCATGCAGGTCCACGTGACTGAAGCTATATGCCATGGAACAGTATCTGTGTGATGACTGCTCGACAGACTCATGTTGCTCAATATCTTCTACAGCGAGGCCACACACCATCAACGCTGGCGCTTCCCACAGGCAAGGTGCGCAAGCTGGGTTCATGGCACCTTTGGTCGACTTTGCTTTATAATTTGCTCAACGAAGAACTGGGCTCGATGATTAACTAGGACGTAAGTGCGGCCGTTTCTAGACCGTTTCTAGGCTCTTTCTAGGCCCTTCTAGCCCTTTCTAGGCCCCTGCTAGGCCCTTTCTACTAGGCCCTTTCTAGGCCCTTCTAGGCCTTTCTAGGCCGCTTCTAAGCCCTTTCTAGGCCCTTTCTAATCGGCCCTTTCTAGACCCTTTCTAGGCTCTTTCTAGGCCCTTCTAGGCCCTTTCTAGGCCCTTCCTTGGTACTTTTGCTTTGACCGCTCAGACAAACTTTGAGCTGAGCGACGAGCGCCGGGAGCGTTTGCGTATCCTGGTCGCTGCAGCTCACGCGCGCGGCATTGAGGCACAGAATCGTTGGCTCTTGCCGTGTTTGAGGGTCAGGTGCTGCGTGTCGATGGTTTTGAGCATTGCATTGCGCACTTTTTCCAAGGGCCAAAACAACCCTGCGCATGTTGTCCGTTGCCAAGGCCCCCCTCCCCCCTGTCCCCCCCCTCGCACGCATCCTTCGCCCTCAATAGTCGCTTTACAAAAGTCTGGGCCTCAGCTGGGCCGTTGGGTGCAATGCAAGGTCGGCGTGGATGTGCCCCTGTCGCTGAAGCAGCAGCATGCGCTGAACCTTCTGCCGAGCCCTGGGCGACAGAGCCACAACGAAGAGCAGGTGCCGAGTCGCTCTCGAGTCGCGCTCGAGTCGCTCTCTTCAGTTCGAGGTGCGCGCCCGAGTGCGTTGGCTCCGCAGCTGTGGCTTTGACCACCTGGGCACAGAGCTTGGGACCACAGAGTTCACCCGAGGACTCGCAAGCAAGTACGAATACTTCTTTGGCCCATTCGGCCATTCGGTTCCTGACTGCTTGCTTTCTCAACCCCTTCGGTGAGGACTGCATGCTGCGGAGATGGTTCGCCTCCTGAATATCACGCAGGCCGTGTGATTGAGCGTTGCAGAGTTGCAAGGTGCCACGGGAGAGGGATTGGCAAAGTGCCAGGAGGAGCTAGGACCGCAGAAGGTATTGGTGAAGAACCACTGCTCCACCAACCAATACGCCGACGGCTTCACAGACCCCAGGCACGGGATGTTTTCTGGTGCGCTTCAACAGATGATTCCACAGGCCGTCGCACTCTGGGGTGTTGAATTTCAACTACCTCAACTACTTTGCAGATCCCAAGATTGCGCCTTGCCTCCTGTTTGACATCTGTTCCATCAGCTGATTGTTGCTTCTCAGATTGTAAGACATGGCTCCGAGGTCAGCATGCCCCACACGGTGCAGGCGTACTCGCTGTCAGACCCCGCGCCAACCTACGGGAACGCCGACTTCTCTGATCTTAGAGCCACGTCGCAAGATTTGCGATGTGAAGGTTTTAAGTGTTATGCTTTGAGAGCGAGAGACCTTCATTCTTTGCTTTCACTTGGTTGTGCCAAGGAAATTGGACGTCCTTTCTGCTGCAGCAGGGCCGGCCAGTTGTGTTTTATCCCGAAGCTTGGTGTTGTCTAAGTGCTTGGCCGAGCTTTGAAGCAGCCTGCCCATCCAAGGAAACGGCGTATTGGGTGAACTATGACATCTCAGTTCCGCTGTTCCTGGCTCCCACCTATGCTTCCGACCGAGTGGAGGACACATTGCAGCGCTGCTTCCCCATCGACCGCAAATAAAATGGACACGGGCACACTGGTTCTACCCTATGGGAGCTACGATGGGGCACCCGAGCGTTGTCCGTGGCTCAGGATGCTGATAGCCTGGACGCCATGTCTGGGACCGTCCGGCACTTGGTATGTGCTGCCAGAGTCAGGACCAACATTTATACGCAAAGCGTTTGTTGGCCAATGTTGACGGGTTCCACTCCCTGGTTAGGACATGTTGTTCTTAGAACCAAGCACCCATTGTTTCGCAGGTGCCTTTGCTCGGCCAGCTGAACTTTGAGAGTGGCTGGCAATGGGGCTACTGGCTGGTGCCTTCACAGCGAGTTGAACTAACGTCCACATAAGGAGTTGTGGACAATGTGCTTCCTGCACGGTTCGCTGAATATGTTGCAGGATGAAGGGGTGAGCGCATTTTGCATTGAACAGAGGCAAACTCAGCCCAAGCACTGGTGGCCTGGCGACGGGAGTCCTTGCAGAGCGCTTTCCTTCGACTTCTGCGCTTCATGCCCCAGAAACCGCGCCACAGCTGTGAGAGAAATTGCTTTCCGAAGTATTTGACGAACAAGAACCGCGAGTTGCAGTTGAAATGGTGGCATCTCCCGACCCGGCGCAACTTTCTCTCGATCTTGTCCCATTTCTTGTTTGTTCTATCAATCGCTCTTTGGACGTGAGGCGCGTTGCTTTGGCGCAGCTGCTGGTGGAGTTTGCGGCCGAGCAGCGGCGGCTCCTGGTCAAGGGCCTGCGGCGAGGAGGTGTGCAGACGCCGCCGGCGCCCGGCGTTGGTCCTGGCTCGGCCGCACGTCAAAGGGCACGGGGATCACGGCAGAGGGACAAAGGGACGGCCGGAGAGGGCGGGGAAGAAGATGAAGCGTGTGTCACGTGTGTCACGTGTTTGACGTGTTTGACGTGTTTGACGTGTTTGAGGCTACTGCGATGGCTTACATCCAGGGCTCTGAGGGTCTGTCGGACTTTGCTTCCCTGGCTGCGCGCTACCTGGGCGAGGGCGCGCCGCAGCCTGACCGCGTGCACTTCATGGAGCTCTGGCGAGAGGCGTGAAACGAAAGACGAGTACGGGCACACGTGCGTACGGAGCTCGCAGGTGCCATCCTCAAGCCTGCGCCTGCTTCAAGCGATCCAGGACAGCCAGCTGAGAGTAAGCTTGGAGGTGAGTCGATGCGCTCAGGGTGGATCCGCCGTCACTGACGCGTTCCTGGGCACTGATCGGCTACGCTGGCAGCGCCAGAGCTGGTTCCAGGATGCAAACGATGCAAACGATGCAAACCGAGACCATTGCCACGCGTCGAGTTCGCTCACGTAGGAGCACTTGCGTCCGTTGCTGGCAGAGACCAATGCGACCTTCGCTGAGTTGGCGAGACGCTTTGAGCGGATTCCGGCACCGGGGAAGGCGCTGCAACTGCAATGGCACAGAGAGCTCAGGCCCCAACCGCCCCAACCGCCCCAACCGCCCCAACCGCCCCAACCGCCCCAACCGCCCCAGGCTCCCCGTGCAAGGCCTTCCAGGACTTGGCGGTGTCTGCGCGGATGCTGAGCTTGCGATGTTCGCAAGTCCTGGCTCTCTACGAATACTCTGCGCCTCAGCGTGCACCAGTCTGTCATGGTCGGTCCATGCTCCATGTTCTGCGAGGCCATGTGTCGAGGCAAGGAGACGGAGTTCTGCCAGAGCCGGCTGACGCTGTCGCGGAGCGTGCTGTCTGCAGCGCAGGCGGGGAGCTGTTGTCTTTGTAGCTGTTGCCACGACAGGCAAACGTGCGCAGTGCGTCGGTACGCACTCATTTTCTCCCCATGCCGCATAGGCCGCATGGGCCGCATGGGCCGCATGAGCCGCATGGGCCGCATGTCGCCTCTTTTCCGAGTCACGAGGCATTGGCTGAGGAGCGTGCAGAGCACATGGGCCTCGAGGCCTTAGACCGAGGAACCCGTGTTCTGGCCGCTTGGCACTGCGCATGCTGAAATGCTGAAATGAGCTTCACGGCCTATGGAAGGTGAGCAAAGTGAAGATCTCAAAAGCAAGCACGTGACGGGTATGGTGGGGACAAAGTGGGGCGATACCAAAGGGTGCTTGCCAAAGGGACCATGAGAGCCAAGCGAGGAATGGAGTGAGCCCATTCCAACCGCGTACTCCTATGGCTACCTTTGGGCGGCGCACACTCTGTTTTACTGGCGCCGCGACCAGGAGATGGCGGGGTCTGCTGCATTGCATGGACTCCGGATGGCGCCGAATCCGAGTCCGGAATCCGGAATCCGGATCCGGCGTCAGGTGGAGCAGCAGATCGCGGACGTCTGCTTCGGCGCGATCAACGACCCAGTGGAGCTGGGGCTGGCCGGTGGGGGTGGGCCATGGGCGCGCTGGGCGCTGCTCGGACGAACTAGCTGATGCATGGCGCATGAAGCCACGGCCACACATTCAATTTGATAGAACTTAATCAGCCAGAGGCATACCTTTTACCAGAGGCTTCTTTTGCGTTTCTCACGAGGCAATCTGTGATGCAGTCAGCGCTGTCGAACCGCCTTTGGCATGTGGAGCTCGCCAAGTGCTTGGGGCCTCCGACCGAACCCAAGTTAGGCGCGCGCCACTGTCGGTGCCACTCCACTCGCCACACAAAATCGACGTGCCAGGAGCTGCAAAGGACATGGTCATGTTGTGAGCGGAGTTGCAACGCTTTCTCTGAGTTCTCAAAATTCAGCTTGGGCTCATCCCTTTGACCCGAAGTGCGAGGGATTTGCGGCGCCAGCAGAGGTTGTTTTCCATTTGTCGACTTCGCTTGGCCCCATATTTTTTTGCACGAGCGTGTGGAGCTTACCGGCACCAGCGCCTTTGTGCATGTGCAAGGCCGTGTCAGAACGCGGAGCATCTTGTACAGTCCGGTAGCGCGATGCAAGCAGCTTCTCGCTGCTTTCAATAGGCGAGCCACAAACGTGGACTCCAGTTGCTTGATATTGCTTGATCTAGTTTCGTGCCAATCTACCAGATTTGAAAGGCCAATGCCAGGGAGAACGACACAAATCATAGATGTCGGGCTTTCCTGACCCGTCCTACCATGCGCGAAATGGGCAAAGTCACCCATGTGGAAGGCACAGATGCCACCAAGATGCCACCAATGCGGAGTCAGCTTCGTCAAAGGGCGTCACACTGAGCATTTTGCCACGAAATGCCAAGCAAGTGCAGCTGTGCCCCGCCGTCCATTTACCAGGAATTGCATGATACACAAGCCATCAGAGAGGCAGATTCAAATTTGGGCCATCATCGTTTTGGACGAAGTCACAATCGCTCTTCCCACGCCGTCACACGCACTTCAGCTTTGGAAAGCAGAGAGCTGAAGGTTGAACCACAACGAGTCAATGTTGCCATGGCTGCGGTTCTCTCGGAGACAGAGGACTGGGCCGGAGGATGGTCAAAGGTCAAGACAACGGGAAATCAACAACTGACTTTCAAAACTGCATTGAGCTGCAGGAGCACACCCCGCTGTTCTTCTATTTGCTACTGGCAACAGGTGCAATACTTTTGTTCTCCTTGTAGCTTGGCAGCTTGGCAGCTTGGCAGCTGGCAACTGTCAAGGAATGGCATTCTGCACCCGCGCAATGCCAACCCCCTTCCTGCCGCTGGTCATGACGACAGACTTCCACCAGGGTGCTTCCTGCGTCGGCCTGGCCGGGACGGCAGTAGCCGAATCACATGTATATATATATATATGCTCAGCCCCCCTCCCATGATCCACCTTTTCTTCGCCATTTGTACCACCTGCCAGCACAAGTCACCCTTGATTTCCCATTCATGTCCCGCGTGTCCCATTCATTTCCCCTTCGCTTCCCTTTCATTTCCCCAGCATCTCGCTTCATTTCCATGCACTTCCCACTCATTGCTCTTTATTCCCAAGCACTTCCGTTTCATTTCTCTTCATTTCCCCTTCATTTCCCCTCCTTCATTTCCCTTCACTTCCCCCTTATTGCTCTTCATGTCCCTTTCATTGTCTCTCATTTCCCTTCCATTTCACCTTCAGGTTCTTTTATGTTACCCTTAATCTCCCTTATTTCCCTGTCCCCTGCGCCTCCCTGTCAAATCAGTTTGCCCTGAATTTCCCTCCATTACTCTCCATTTCCCTTCGTGTCCGCTGCTGATGATGAATTGTTGCTTATGTTCACGTGCCAGACACTCCCTCTTTGGCGAGGGGTCGGCAGACATGCCTATCATGAATAGACAAACACAAACATGCGTGTAGCATTGAATCTTTTATCCGTATCTGCTGCTGTGTTACGTTGATGTTCTGTTTGCAACTTGCGCAAGGCCATGTCCGTGTATCCTCTTGGCGCTTTCCTTGCCACGCCACTGGCTGCTGTGCAGGCAGGGCTGAAGGGATGCGATGCTTGCCAAGCATGCACCAAACCACATGCGAAGCCACGTGAAGGCTCAGCGAACATGCCGAATTCTTCGGCTGCATTCGTTTACCCTCATCGAGCCTACCTGAGTGCTCGATCTGCAAGCAGCATTGGCAGTTGCTTGCACTGAGTTCATGTCGATGACCTCCATGCTGATGGCACTTTCACCTCAAGTCCACAGACTAGCAGGATGCGACTGAGTCTGCTACTTGAGCCTACAGCTCGCGTTCGGCAGGACCTGAGGCGGTTTTCCTGGTCATGACCTTCTTTCGCTTTGCTCAAGGCGTGAGCCAAGCGTACTACATGGCCGCCAACACCACCCTCATCTCGCGGCGATTCACAGGTGAGCAAGTGCGAGCAAGTGCCAATTATGCCCGAAACCACTCAAACCAATCAAACCAATCAAGCCAACCAAGCCAATCAAGCCAATGACAGAAGTGGCCTACACCGTGGGCATGGTGGAGGTTGCGGTGGGCTCTGGAGCACAGCTTGGACGCATTGGCGGCGGCAGCCTATTTGGCCTTGCCGGCTTTGCTTGCCCCTTCGCCGCTTGCTCACTGTGCCGCACTTAAGTGTGAGAAGGCGCCGGCATGCACTCCATGGGATCCATGGGATCCATGGGATCCATGGGCATGGAACTCAGGGGCCTGCTCACCTGCGCCGTCATCGGCTTCGGCTTCGAGGACGAACCCTGCGATCACGTGGAGAGCACCTCGCCTCGACTTTCCGCCTTTCGGGAACTGGAGAGTCTCGAGTCACTCGAGTCCCAGGCGATGAGTCGGAGAGCGCCATCAGCTGGAAGACCTTCTGTACCAGCCGTATCTTTGTGCCAGTGGCAGGCCAGGACTTGACAGGCGCGGCCTTGGAAAATCTGATTCTGCAAGGGGTCTTCGCCGCCTACATGGTGACAGGCCTGGGCTTTCAAACTTTCTGCTTTGCCGTGTTTAGCTCAAGGTCTCTTAGATGCCACGCTGCCCCAGCACCTGGAGCTCCATTTGGGCCTCTCCGTGTTTGAGATCAGCTGCTTCAGCCGCCACGACATGACTTGATGGTGGTTCCATGCTCGTCAGTGCCCGCCCCGCTGCCTGCCTGCCCGTAGGCTCCTTGCGCAGCCTCGTCTACTTGATGGTGTCCTGGACCTGCAGCTCGGCCGAGAAACCTATTTCCGATTTCCCATTGCAGATTTGTGCACATGTGTTGTGCACTTTGAGTCTTCAATGCACTTTCACATCATACTTTGTTGTACTTGTTGTATCTCCCTCGTGTCTCTGTCTTTGCAGATTTCTTGTGCTAGTGTCGTACTGTCGTCATACTTGTTGAGGTGCGCAGATGCTGCGGGGCACGGCGTCCTTGGAGCTGATGCTTTGCGTGGGCTTCGTGCTGGCAACTCTCGGCTTGACGCCTGACGGGGATCGGGTGGAAGGGCGCATTTCGTGAGCCAAGCGTTCGGCTCATCTAGATCCTTGGGTTCTTATGGTTCTTATGGTTCTTATGGTTATCCAGCACCAACTGGAGCCGTGCTCACTCTTGCTTCAGGTGCTTCGTTTGCGGCGATTTTCAAACACACATGTGTGCCGATTCTTCATCGATGCCTTGCGTAGATCCATCATGATCCATGCTCCCTCCTTGCAGTTGAATGACCCCAGCGCCCAGCGCAGCCAACTTCTTGCGCATTTTCTTTCACGGCTCAGGATGCTTGCAGCGCCGCAAAGTTGGGTCACAGACGCGGAAGAATATGCGCTGGGCACGCGACCGCGAGCTCTGGATGCTCGGTGCAATGAGCGAGCTTTGACTCAGCGAGAGAAGGCGCGAGCGCGCACAAGGCATGGGGCGATCAGCTGGCGTCTCTCATCATGACTTCCGCTGGCAACGCCCTGCTGTTTGTCCCTGGCTTGCCACTGATGCAGAACGAAGTTCGACACCTAGGACAGATTGCGCTGTAACCAAAGCAGGTGCAGACACGCTTGTCAGGAGCCGGTGCTGCAGAGAAGGTGTCCTCACTGCTGATGGCGGCCATGTCCGGCGGTGAGTTCTTTGGGCCCATAGTAGGAGTGGATGGCAAATTGGCACAAATTCTGGCTTAAGTGCCACCTGAAGTGACTTGACACCCGGTTGAAGTGACTTGCGGTTGTAGTATGTGACTGCCAGCAACTTGGTTTCCTTTTTTCCTGGGGAAATGTGAGTGCGTAATGCGCGCAGGAGGCGTCCTGGTGCAGCACCTGGACTTTGGCGGCGCCACGGCCATCTTCGCGGTCCTGCTGCTGCCCTTTGTCGGCCTCAGCTACGTCGCCCACAAATCCGCAACGCGGATTCCATTGGGCAATGGCACACGGCACATGGCACATGGCACGTGGCATTGGAAGGAAAGGATTCGTCCCCAAACAGTTTACTGTCGGGGTTCTTGATTCTAAGAGTAGACGGGTTCGCGTGGACGGCTTGTCTCCCCTTGGCTCCCTTCATTTGTGCTCCAAAACGCAGCCTGGGCGTGCTTCACGTGTGCTCCGGGTGGATTGGTTCTTGGCGCCTTGTTTCCCTTTGTCTCCCTTTGTCTCTCCGTGTCGCCCTTCAAATGCGCTCCAAGCTAAGTTCGCCTGGACGGGTTGCTGCTGCCTTGTCTCCCTATGTCTCCCCTGGCCGCCTTTCATTTGTGCTTCAAGCTTGGTCGCCTGGGCGGATTCCCAGCCTTGTCTTCCTTTGTCCCCCTTGTCTCTCTTCATGCCTGCCCCAGACTGAGTTTTTTGTGCTGGGTTCGCCTGTACGGGTGGCAAGATTGGACATGCGTATGTGCCGCACCGGTCCAGGTCGGACGGGTTCTTGCCGCTTTCCAATGTGCAGGTCAAGGTTGGACGGGTGTCTCCCCCCCTTGTCTCCCTTCATAATCCTTCATATACGGGTGCAAGGCCGGTCAAGGTCGGACGGCGCTCTGTCTCTCCTTGTCTCCCTTCACATGTGGGCTGATCAGGTTCAACGGTGAATTTTGCAGGAAAGCGCCCCGCACAATATGTTTCGCGAGGTCTGCTTGAAACGGTTTGGGGTCTTTGGTGCATTTTTCTTGCCACGGTGTCGAGTTTTGGAGCTTGAGGTCTTTTGGGCAAGGCCCTCCCTCAGCCAACTCGAAGGCTTACTCACCAGGCAAGTATCATTTGCAGAGGACGGGCTGGGCTTGGGTTATCCCTCTCTATTGGAGCAAGCTATTCTCTTCACGTTTGAGTGCTCGCCTTTGCTCAGGAGTCCCAAGACCTTGCGACGAACTTGTCAATACCCATGGACCCGGAGAGTGCATACAGGTGAGCTAAGTGAGTCGAGAGTCCGAGTCAGAGACACCTGGATCAGGTTCCGCCGATTGGCCTTCCTGGGCACCGAAATGCACAGTCGAATTCACAGTGTCCCGACACAACGCCGCCGACCTAGAGCATGCCAGCCGGCCAGCCGGCCCGCCAGCCTGCCAGCTTGAGGTCGTGCCTTCATATCCTGCAAAGATGGCTCCGCCACGGCGCCGTCGACCTTCCGAAGGAACTTTGAGGCTGGCAAGGCAAGTCCCGGCGAGAGCGCGCGCTTGAGCACGCGCCTTCCGGGCCAAATGCCAGGCGCGCAAAGGCCGAGGCTGACCCCGAGGTGCTGATCTCGTCAAGTTCCCGGCTACGCGGTTCAGGTGACGTGCGGAGCCAGGCTCACGCCTTGGCCGGGAATTTGCAAGGCAGTGTACATACACTTCCAAGGCGCTAGCGCCCAAGGCTGATTTTTGTGGCCCCTTGCCATTAAATGGCTTCGGGTGTCGTTTCGTGCACAGTGCGACGCACTTGGTCAGGCCTTTTGTGGCCTCGTGTCCTTCAAAGCACGCCGTGAAAATTGAAGCAAGAGTGACCAGTGGCAACGGTGTATCGGCGATAGCCTCGATCTTTTTGCAACGGCACGCAGCACGAGATTCAGATTCGTGTTGCGGCGCTCAAGAACCCCAAGCCTGAAGCCAAGAATCCAACTCTCACTCGAACCTGTGCCGAAATCCTTTCATGTTTCCCACCATACTCCCTGGTCAGCGCCTTCTCATGAAGAAAGAGCTGTTTGGGCCTTTGTGGGACGGTTCAGTGTATAGGACCGTTATGGGGTGGTCGGTTTCAGGCAAGCTCAGGGGCCAATCTTGGTGGTTCAGTGGGCGGGATAAGGAATGGCTCAAAGTCGATTTAGTGTCAGGTTTGTTTGCTCCTTGCTGGGCTTAGTTGGCGGCTCATTTCGTTCGGGCTGCGGAGTTCTCAAGGGTTGATCTGGCCGTGACTTGGGGCAGGTTTATTGAGTGAGTGGGTGGGTGCAGGGTTGGCACAGGCACGGTTAGGGTGGGCCAAAGGCGTGTGTAAGGTTGGTTTAGGGTTTAAGATGGTTTGGGAGTTGCTGCTGGTTGTATGAATTACGCTGGGTTTTGTCTTGAATTGGGAATTGCCACAGGCTTGGTTTGAGGGTTGAGCGGGTAGATTCAGGGTTGGTTGGGGTTGGTTAGGGTTGGTTAGGGTTGGTTAGGGAGGGCTTGGAGGTTGGACATCACGTGCATGTTGCTGCAAATCTCAAGCTGCGGCGATACACTTCGCATGTTCGTGGCAAGCGTCCACTCACTGGAACATGCAAGCAGACTGCACCGATTGAATATCCTTCTCATGCACAAAGCGCTTGCCGGATTGGTTTGCCTGGCATGGCAAGGCATTTTCGCAGAGGACCCAACTCATGTCATGAAGGCACAAGTCAATCGAGGCCGAGCTGCGCATTGGACTGGGGAGGAGCGAGGCTTGACAATTCCGCGGATCACGGGTGAGCTCGCCACTGCTGCTGCCGCCTTACAGCTGAACCAGGCGAGTTATAGAGTTAGAGGGCTACGGCTTTTGTGTCTGAGGGTGAGATTCATGTTGCGCTGGAACCCGCCTGGAAAGCATTGGTGGAAGATAGGAACAACAAAGGCGCGCAGCGTTGTGAGCTCGACCTGCTCAGCTGTCTCGGAGGACTGGTGCCTCCCAAAGAGGAAGGCCAAGCTCAGCCGCCTTTGGGCTTGGCTCCCATCTCTCATCATCTCTCCCATCTTGAATCTCTCCCATCCCTCGCTGAGGCGAGGCAGAGGCAGCCTTCCAGTATACCCGGACGCAGCGGGGGGAGGTGCGAATCCGACTGAATCTGTTCGAATCTGTTCGAACTCGAAGTCGAATGAGGTGGACTCGGCTCGGCTGCTGCTGGTCTTTGGCCTTGTGCCTGCGGCCAGGAAGCGGAAGGAGCGGAAGCCTTAAGCGCTTAGCTAAGCTCCAGGCACTTGGACCCTGGCACTCTGCATCTCTTCGAGCAAGACCGCAACGGCTCCGAGCCCCTCGGAGAAAACGATGGAGCAAAGGCCTTTACAGCTTTGTTTCTCTCGGAAGGAAGGGCAGCGTGATGCCGCAATCCGCAAAGCTCCGCTATCCGGATGGCTCTACGCCTTTGCACATGGCAGCAACGCGGCCTGGCAAGACGCGGATCCGCGGATCGGCAGGACTGTACGCATCACAGACAGGTTCGGGCTGACGGACTCCCTGCGCAGCTTGCTGCTGGCAGGCGCAGACCTGCAGGCCACCGCAACGTCAGGCGAAGTCAAGAAGTCAAGAAGTCAAGAAAGACACAGAAAGACAGAAAGACCAAGACAGAGCGGCGGAGCGGCCCCGAGGCGTGCAGGCGATCCATGCGGCTGCCATTGCGGGCCATGCGGAGATCGTGCGGGTGTTGGTAGAGCACAAGGCCAACATTGATGCACGGCATAGCTTCGCACAAAACACCCCGCTGCACTTGCCTCAGGGAGCCAGAGCCATTCAAAGCGTGAAATGATGAAAGGGACTCGTCGGGTGCTGAAGCGACCTGATCTAAATGCAAATCAGGCATTTCGCCGCCGAGATGGGCCACGTCCAGGTGGTACGCATGCTGTGCCAGCTCGGAGCAGATGTGGAAGCCGAGAAGTCGCAAGGAGGAATCGGAAATCTTCGATTTGGATTGCAAGGTGCTTACATTTGACGCAACCTTTTGCACCTTCGCAGGCAGCGCGTTGCATACTGCCGCGGACACAGACAATGCTGAAGTGGCACGGGTGCTCCTGGAATCCTGTGGTGCCGACCCTGAAGCTTTGCTGCTGGGAGATACCGTGCCACTGTATTTGGCTGCGCCATGGCTGACGTATGGAGAAGTATGGCTGGCACATTGGCGAATGACGTTGGCACGTCCAAGGCAGGGCGCGGATTTCCTGCGGTGCTCGATGTGCTCATGGCTGCTGGGGCGGACCCTGACAGGCACCATTGCCTGTTCGTTCAAGAAAGAACAAGAACTGACTTGGAGACCAGCCTCTTTCAGATTGCGCCACAAGTGTGGGTCTTGTGCCCGAGCCAGAACTCTGCGGTCGCGGAAGAAGATCGGCGTGGGGAAGGTGCGCGTACTTTCTCCGGTCTGTCTCTCTTCCCTCTCTCCTCTCTCTTCTCTCTCTTTTCATCTCTTTTCTTTGTTCTCTTTCGAGTCTCTCTCTCACTTTTGTGTAGCTTGAGCCCGGCCAGGTGCCGGAAGGTGCCCTCCCCGGCAGCAGCCCCCAGGCGCCCGGCTGGGAGGAGAGCAACGGGGCCACGGCCCTGCAGCTCGGACGGCTCCGGCTCAGGCGTTGCCTTGGCGGCTCAGGCGGCTCAGGCGTCTTGAAGCTGAGGCACAACGCCTGCGAAAACGGGCACTTGGCGGTAGCCCGGCCCGAGATACCTTCAGTCGGGCAGTCAGGGCAGTCAGGGCAGTCAGGGCAGTCCAGGCTGTCACTTCTCTTCTGGAAGCTGGAGCACGGCAGCTGGCCACCATGCAAGGCAACACAACGCTCGAACATCGCGCTAGACTGGCTATGCTTCGGTGCTAGATTTCTTGCAGCATGCAAGCCCCTTTATGGAATGTGCCAGAACTGTAGTCTCAGGCCCCGTCCTAAGCCGTGGCTTTTGTATGACGGTCTTGGGGTTTGGTGTGGTTTGGTGTCCCGACAGAACCGGCTCACGGTGCAGTGCAGGGGTCACGCCGCTCATCACGGCGCTGCAGTACAGACATCCCCACGTCGCCGTAGCGTTGCTGGATGCCAGGACGGGTCGGACGGGTCGGACGGTCGGATCGGATCGTTCCATGCTAAATTGAATGGCAATTGGAGACGTGGTCGGCAATGGCAATGCAAAATGACCGCATTTCGTTGCGGCTTCCGCGCTCAGGACTCCTGCCAATGTGGGAGTGGTGTCCCCTTTGGACGGGCGCCTTGCATGAATATGGTTTTGATGAAGGTTTGCGTGAAGCATTTGAGGCAATCTGCTCTTCATATCGCAGCTGCATACAGCTATGCCTCGATAGTGGCAAGAATTGTTCTCCAAGGAGCTGCCACTGATTTGCGGGATCGTGCAGGCTTGCTCAGCCTTGCTCTTGCGGCCTATGCTCAGCTGTCTTAGGTAACACCCCACTGGACTACGCACGCGGGGAAGTCCGCTGGCTTCTGCATCGATTCTATGGGAGAGATCCGCGGTTGGAGTCTTGGCAAGCGTTGAGCCGCGCGGGGCAATTTGCCGCAAGGTTGAGGTTCAAGTTCAGAGCCAGGTGCAAACCTTGGACCAAATGAGTAGGGCTTTTTCCTGATACTCTCAGTTGCGTATCGATCGGTTGCACGCCGGGTTCGGAGATTGTTTGGCCGACAAGAAGACTTGGGGCTCGTAAGCCAATGCATGTATGCAATGTTTCAGCATTTCTCTTGCAAGCGTCGGAATTAGCGCATTCTCCGTTCGATTTGCGATCCTGAATGTTTGCATTCGGTCGCTTTTGCGTGGGGGTGCGTCGACTCGATTCCAGAGGCTATCTGGCTCGAATGTTCTGCCCGAAGATCCTCGCATGTTCTTTGTCCTGCTACCAGCCAGCTGCCCCTTGCCGCGCCCTTGCGTGCTTATCAATGCGCCCCCTGGTTCACCAAGACAAGGCAACCCTTTGCCTCGGCCAGCAAGCCCCAGCCGCTCGCACCCATACAGACCGCGTCCTCAGGCTCATTGTATCTCCATGCCAGCGCAGTCACGGCGCCTTGATCCGACTTGCCCGACGGTTAGCGCTTCGGGTTCGGGGAGTCTCGCAACACGAACTCAGCAGGTCTCGGCTTCTGCCGCGCAACAGCGGGCTTCATTGCTGCAGAAACAGCTCCAAGTGTGGTGCGCGATCATCATGATTGCTGAATGCAACTCTTCCTTATTCGATTTGTTTTCACGCAGTGAACAGCGAATCGAGCACATCAAACAGGTGGTGGCATATTTTTCTCCCTTCACGATTCAGAGGCATTGCCGCATGTGGCACCTTTGGCAGCAGTTCGCAGACACGCATGGCTTCTCTATTTACGACCCGTCTGCCTTACTGTTTGATTTTTTAGCATCTCGTCGGTCGAAGCTTCAGCAATCCTCGGCTTCATGCTTTTAGCGTGCCGGCAAATCCACAAATCCGCCGAGAAGCGTTGCCGTTACCGATGTCCTTCTTGGTTTTCCTGGAGCACAAGGTTGTGGGTGAAATGGTGTCCCCGTCCCGTAGATACATTGCAGCTGTTGTCCTCGTGGTGGTTTGGTGCTCGCTGCGGTTTGCGGATGCCCAACATTGCTCACCTACTACGTCGCTTTCCTTGCAGCAACATACAATTCGGGTTTTTGTGACCGAACAAAAAGCACTACCAGAGGACAGCCTTTCGCTGGCGTCGCCTTCGGTTTGCTGGGGCAATGGGGGTACTCTTTTTTCCAGATGGTGCAATCCTCGTGCAGTTCCCCAGCGGTGGACTACCTCCTATCGGCGACTGCTGACTGTGCAGCCAAAGCGCGACGATTTGCCGAAAGTGCAGAGTTTGAGTGGGACAGACCAGCAACACGGTTCCAGGCTCTCCTATCGCTGCGCTCACTCATGCAGGAGTTTGCGCAAAGCCAGCCTTCGGCCAGCGTGTGTGGCTACACAGTTCACAGCATGAAGACCACGCTTCTTTCATATGCTCGGCAACTGCAATTGCCTCAGCCGTGGTGCTTACAGCAGGGGCACCATCGAGTGGCCACGGGTCACTCAAGCGTCAGCTTGTATTCCAGGGATGATGTTCATGATGCGCTTCAATGTGCTGTGGCCAAAGCTGCCAGAAGTGGCTGGCGGCCGGTCACACCGATTTGGCGTGGGGCCGCTCCACCTTTGATTGACTTGGACTGCTGCGTGCCTTTTTCCGCCTTCCGCTTCGTATGGATGGCCTTGATCCCACTCCCAGGACACCCGAAGTTCTGGATTCTTCTTCTTCTTCAGATGACAGTAACTCCGATGACTCAGATGCAACCTCTTCTGACGAAGACTCTGCGTCCGTGGCGCCGCCACAGGCAGCTCTTTTCCTGGCCCGCGTGTCTGGCGGGGCGCTTCACGTGGCGCAGCCAGCCACAAACACGAAGCGCACAGTCTTGTTTGAAGGAACCTTTGTGGTGGTCGCCTGTGGAGCAATCTTGGAGCCTATTCTCAGCAATGTTCAGGTTTGTTCCAGTATTCCACCTCACGATGTGAGGTTTTGTCGGCGTGCAGCTTGTGCGTCAAGCAGTCGGTATTGTCTCAGGGCTAGATGATGAAGCCATGACTTCGCTCGCTTTTCTAGGGGGCTCGAGCTGTGCCATTTTTTCTTTGAACTTCCCTCAGTGCAATCTCGGTGTGGCAGATTTGGATTCTGAGGAATCGTGGCATTCCTTGTTGTCACGCTGCGGGGCAGATGCCCTGCGTGACTTAGGATTCCACTCAGCTGCTCTCTACGGGTACGCGGTCACGGCTCTTGAGGACTTGGACCCGTTGCTCAGGAAAATTCTCCAGTCCAAATCCCTGCAGTGGCTGCCGTGGCATCACAGGGTCAGTGAAGAGAGGGAAACGCAACATGTGGAGCGCAGGGCCTCCCGCTTGCCCAGGAATGAGTCTCAGCTCCTTCGCAGCTTGCTGGAGGAAGACTTGCCTGTGGTGGATACGCGCACCATGTCTGCCAACATCCACTCAGTGTCAACCATGCAGCACATTTGGTCATTGGCTCTGGCCATCAACAAGGCAGCGCACTTGTACACCTTGAAGCAATTTCAGGCGCATTTCAATCAGTTTGCTTTTGCTACCTTGGCAGATGACACGCTGCGTCCGCCGATTTTGCCAGAGATCATCGAAGCTGATCGTTGCTGTTGGCAGTCCATCTTCTCACTCCAGCGTGACCGAGCTTGGACATTGGATCAAGCGATCCATGAGCTGACATTTGCAAGGCAGGAAATTGCGTCCCGCCTCTTTTCCAAGTAAGGCGCTGTCAGTTTTCTCGTGGCGGATCAAACGCTCAGGGCGATGCCGAGAAAACTGCCCGGGTGCGAAAGCCTGCTAAGCAGGACGCGACTCGCTCCGGGGCGGACTCATCTAGCACTTGGGTCAAAGAATATCAGGGGCTGCGGAAGAACTCCCATCCTGGGTGAGCGCTGGGGGAGGATTGCTATGGGGCGACTGGGGCTGGTTCAGGCTCCAAACAAGGAGCCGAGGCTTGTTATGAATTCTTCAGTCAGCGGAGTGAATGCCATACAGCAGCTGCGATGTCCAACGCAATCACTATGCCTTCAATACATAAGCATGTGGCCCAGTTGAGCCTGGGCAGGAAACTAGCTCAGGCCTTGTTATTGACATTAGCAAAGCGCACAAACGGATTTTGCTCCGTGAGCCAGATCGTGGCCTGATGTTGTGCGAGTTCCACAGCCGATTTTTTTGTTACAAAACATTGAACTTCGGGGCCACTGCATCCTCTTTGTATTGGAATCGGCTAGCAGCGCTCCTGATGAGATGCGCTCAAATTTTCATTTACGTTCAGCATCACACCTGGATCTACGTAGATGATTGGCTGTGGCGGTTTCCAACTGCCAGGATTTGGAAGCAGGGCAAGGGCTGCTCTTGTGGATCTCTGACTTGTTTCGGACTTTGCGTCCTTTCCTTATGTCCTTCTACGAGGCGCAGTTTTCTGACCAAGGAACCCTGGTTGCTATAGCAGCTACAGACCTCGCTCGTTTGCTGTCTCTGTGTGATGACGGGTTGTTTTTCAGGAGCGGTTGGGCCAAATACCCTGTGCTGAAACGTGGATGCAAACTGTTAGGGGTTGGAAACGCTCGGGCTTATCGAAAAGATGACATTCTACTGGAGCCGCTGCGAACAGAACGAATTTGGGTCCGAGCGCAAGACCCCCACAAAGCTACTGTCAAAATACACCCCAAGCTCAAAGAGGACGCCTGGCTATGGCTGCAGGTTTTGGCGTCGCTGCCTTCCATGGTTTCCACGTTGCAGCCTGCGGTCTTCCCCGCGCAGGGTTGGGCAGACGCCTTTGCGACAGTTGATGTTGCCGGCGCAGGTGGCTTCCTGACATTTGATGGTTTTGTCAAATGGTTTCAAATCCACATTCAGAGGAAGATGTTTTGCCATGGATCCCTGCTGATGCACCGTTGCAACGGTTCATTTGCTTCGAGGTTTTAGCTCAACTTTGCCTGCTCTTCATCGCAGCCACACACAAGCCAATGGCAGGAGTAGTTTTGGCCTTCTGCGTACATTTTGTGACAATGCTGGAGCTGAAGGGTTGTCCTGGAATTTTTGAGCACGGACCCAGTGCTCAGTGTCGGATTGAAGGCTTGGGCGCGGATGGAAGCCGTGCATCAACTGCGTCTCAGTGTGTCGCACATTCCAGGGCAGGACAATCACGTCGCAGATGGCCTCAGTAGGCAGCGCCCCCCCTGAGAATTTTGGCCAAGCAGATTATCGTGTGCAAATTTCCCTCTCAGAGTTGCTGACTTTCGACGCACGCTTGACTCTTCTCCCACGAGATGAGTCTTGGCCATCGTCCCTCTCTTATTGAGCGCTTCGCGCCTCCTCGCCGTCCGGCTGGATTGTTCGGGGGGAGGGATCCCTTCGGCTCGGCTGGTTTGCCCTTTTTCCGGCTGGATCGCGGGGGGGGTTTGCACATTGCCTGGGCTGGCATCTCGTTTCACGCAGTGCTATGCTTTGAGGCATGTGAACAAAGTGTGCTGCTCACATGTGCCGCGCGTGTGCTCATGATCGAGGGCAGACGGGGACCCCGCGCTCCAGGAATCTGCAAAGCAGCCTGAATACTTCTTGGGAGGTTTTCGGAAATGCGGCTCAAGGCCTTCCAAAACGGCGCAGGAGCTGGCGCTCATGGTCAAGCTAGGATACCTACTTTTCAGGTATCCTAAGCTGATAATCTCTGATAGTGCTGAGAGCATGGGCAATTGTTTCAGGGTCCGATTCAAAGTTCCTCCGGCGGTTCTAGGCGGACGCTCTATTCGCTTGCTTCTTTGCCCCAGACTGCTCTTCCAAAAGCGGCGCCGCAAGAGAGAGAGAGAGAGAGAGAGAGAGCGAGAGAGAGAGTTGTCGTCTTGATCAAGCACGGCGCACGCCTGAGGATACCATTGTACGTTCAGAGCTGCAGAACACAAAGAAAGCCCTGTCGCAAATCTATGATGCAGAGGTGGATGATGCCAAGAAGAAAGTGTACTTGCGCCTCGCGGAGTATTTCGGAAAACAGCTTGGAGGAACGTGTCAAAGTCATTGCATACAGACCATGCGTTGTAGTATGCTTTGAATGCAGAAGGAATCTGTTCTTGCATCTTCGCGTCTTTTTTCGTGTGGGGTCAGAGGCGGCACCTGGCCCTCGCCGAGGACACCGGCCAACTGGCAGCCGAAGTGGCCCGGCTGGCCAAGCGGGCCAAGGACATCCGAACTCGAACTTTCGAGAGCAAAATGGCGAGTGTCTAGAGGCTTTGTGAGCCTTCGGCTCTCTACCGCTGCTGCGGCTGTCTTCACTTCCAGAGTTCGAATTCTGAAGCTCGCGCCTAGTAGAATATCGTATAGATCAGCTCAACACTTCGAGTGGCTACTGGGCTTGCACTTGTCAGCAGGGCAAATGGACTTGGAAATGCTGGGCAGAGTGTTTTCTTGCAATTAGGCTGCAGGGATGTCAAGTATTGGCTGAGCGCTCTTTTGCTAGCTGGTTCCCAAACTTGGCTCCTACATGATGGTGAAGAAGCCAGTTGAGTTTCGAGCAGAGCTAGCGCCGGTCCGTTGGATGTTGCGGATGTTTGCCGGCAGGCTTATTTCAGCCGAACGCATTGCAGCACGCGTAAGCACCCCAAGAAAGGTAACGAAGAACGCGTGTCAGGAATCGTGCTTTCAATCTGAGCACATTCCGGGCCTTGAACTCATGCTCTCTGACATGTGTGTCGCAGTGTCAACTAGGGATATAATTCTGTGAATTGAATCCATCGAGAAATTCCTGGAGTCGGAGGTCTTGCGCGAAACGTCGCCAAACTTTGAGGAGAGCGACGTGCAGCACTTCAATGTCGCTCGATTTCTCCTGGCCGGCAGCGACCTCCCCATTGCCCTGGAGGCCGAACGCGAAGCCGAATCTGAACCAAGAGAAGCAGAGTAAAGCAAAGACAGAAAGGAACCAGACATGTAACGAAGCGATGGAAGTTGACATTTTAACAGCCATCCGTAGGCCATGCTTCAGAGGACGGAGATGTCGATGACCGTGGGCCTGGTGCTGCTGGGTCTTAGGCCCAAAGAGGTGGTCTACAAACCCAAAAGCCAGGCCCAGCTGGGTTGGGCGTACAGATTGATTTTGCTTGTCCTTTGTTTGCGTACTGTCTATGGTGAAATTTGTTGTCATTTGTTCTCTCGCTCCACACACCGCGGGAAGGATGGGGACGATGGGGACGCGATGGATGGACGCGATGGATGGATGGATGGATGGATGGATGGATGGACGGATGGATGGATGGATGGAGGGAGGGAGGGAGGGATTGGATGCCGGATGGATGGATGGATAGATGAATGGATGGATGGAGGGATGGATGGATAGACGCATGGATGGATGCATGGATGAATGGATGGATGGATGGATGGAGGGATTGGATGCCGGATGGATGGAAGGATGGATGGAGGGATGGATGGAGGGAGGGAGGGAGGGAGGGGATGGAGGGAGGGGTGGATGGGGGATGGATGGAGGGATGGATGGAGGATGGATGGAGGGATTGGATGCCGGATGGATGGGTGGATAGATGAATGGATGGAGGGATGGATGGATAGACGGATGGATGGATGCATGGATGAATGGATGGATGGATGGATGGATGGATTGAGTGATGGAGGGATCGAGGGGTGGAGGGATGGTTGTTTGTTTGATCGTTCTATAGTTCTGTCTTTCGTTCTTTCTTCCATTCATTTATTCATTCATTCATTCATTCATTCATTCATTCATTCATTCATTCATTCATTCTGTCTTTCTTTTCTATTTCTTTGGTTATGTGTTCTATTTGTCTCCCCGTCTCCCTTTATGTATCTCTTTCTCTCGTTTCCTGTGTTGGTCCTTTGTGGCTTTCCTTTGTTTCTGTCCTTTTTCCAGTACTTGTTGTTTGATTTCTCATTTTTCCCCAACAGCTGAAAGCTCTGGGGTCTCAGCACAGATAGGCTCCGGGGTGGTCCGGGCGGCCCTGAGGTAAGGTTCCGAGAGGGTTCCACACCAGGGTTCCACGAGGGTTCCACAAGGTTCCGCGATTGCTGCGGGGTGGTGTGAGCGCCAAACAGAGAACCGCGTGCTGTTGGGGATACCTGAGCTTATTTTCTTTTGCTGGCCCGGCCTGGCCCCTGTGGCTGGTTGGTTGGTCCGACCTGGCTCAGACCTGGGCGGGTTTGGTGACAAAACCAGGGCTATAGTAAAATATCACCTCAACTGGTTGTGTTATCCGACGGTCTCTCTTCTCATCTCTCCGTCTTGCTAATCTTGCTGCTCGCCTGCCTGTCTGTCTATCTATGCGCCTATTTGTTTGCATACTTGTCTGGTTGTCTCTGTGTGTCTATTTGTCTGTCTTTCTGTCTGTTTGCTTGGGAGGTGCTCCAAGTGGATGGGAAACACTTATTCTTCAGAGTGGAGCTGCTGCTGAAGACAGCCACGGAAGAGGATGCCGATGCAGCCTCCGTCCAAGAGCTAGCGCTCCTCCGACTGCAGTTCCGTTAGGGACGGGGCGCTCGGAGCATCAAACAATAATATCTGAGGCAAGCGATTCTCGAGTTCGATGAGTTGGATTCGCCTCATTTGGAGCTTTAATCGTCCGAAATGAGCGCCAATGCGCATGGCAGGCATAGGATTGTCAGGCTCTCCGCGCATTTGCGTGTCCGCTGCTCTGGCTGGTGCAAGACAACCGTTACATGTTGAAACCTAGCTTGACTTAACAGCTGAGCATTCCAATCTGGATCAAGATGTTGGGGCGTTGACGGTGCGGATTACGACAGAGATCAAACATGTGTTGGCAGTATTGTGCAGCTGAAGCTTCCGCATTTTGGAGTTCAGACACAAGCGCCAATCACAATGCAATAGTCCACGTCGACAAATCACACGACGGGTTTTGGGCAGTTGCAAGCTACGTATATTGCCACAAGCTGTATTATCATTATCCCTATCCATGTAGCCCGTGATGGTGTGTGGACCTCGGAACTGGGACGAGAGCTCACGAATCTGAACGAAGCTGGGACGCTCCGAGGCGAGGAGCGGCGACGCGACCGACGCGAGCGACGCGGCCAGTGCGGCGGTCGAGGACAGAGGCCGCTGGGCCAAGTGTCCGAGGGGCTCGGGAGAGAGCGCGTGGCAGGTCTGGCACCGTGACCGCAGGGACCGCGGGGACGACAGCCGCGCGAGGACAGGAGAGGGAGCCTCTGAGGCAGTTGAAGCTTTGAGTCTAAGGGAGTGGCGAGACTCCCGAGACAGTCGAAGCCCAGGCCTGCATCAATCGCGAGTTTCGCGAGTTTCGAAGCTTTGCGTTTTCTCAGGCGGCGTGGTCTTGCGGGCGCGGTCGCAGTCTCGGCACGGCGCCCAGAGCGTGACACTTCCGCTTGCGCGGTGCTTCAAGCCCTGGAGGTCGCGCTCACCCCCGAGGCGCAGAGAGAGAGAGAGAGAGAGAGAGGGAGCGAGCGAGCGAGCGAGAGAAGGAAGGGAAAAGCTAGAAAAGAAAAGAACAAAATGCAAAAATAAACAGCCGATATTCGATAGGGTTGGAACCTACGAGCTGCGACTAAGGCGGCCTCCGTCTTGGCCTCGCAGGGAATCTCAGCGCGAGGAGCTCACATTGGAGACAGCCAAGCCATTTGTCGCCGGATCCCTATCATGGCTACTTTTGATCTGAGGACCTCCCAAAGACATGGAGGGGTCGGGCCCGCAGCTGCGAAGAAACGCAGAAAAAAAGAGGGCCCAGCCCAACGGGCAAAACCCACTCGGTCAGCAGAGTGTTCTTTCGGCTTGGGACTTGAGGCAGAGGGTGAGACGAGGCGGCATGTGCTTCGCACAGTTTGGCACTTGCGACCAACTCGCCAGGTGCAAGCCGGGAATCGCGAAAGGCCGGGGAAGCTCAGAGGCTGCGCCCAGTGCGTTGGACTCGCGCCAGGTCCGACGCAACGCACGTCGTCTCGACGCGACCTCTCCAGGGGCGGCTCCGGCTCGGGGGACTCCGGGGACTCCGGGGGCTCCAGGCGCCAGGTGCGGATCTGCTGCCACGTCCGCGTTCGCACAGCTTTGCCCCAGGAGCCGGAGCCCAAGCGCGGATTCCCGAAATTCGGAGAGTGGCGGGCTGAATTCGTGAAGGAGACAATTGAAGCAACAAGTTGTGAGAGCTAGCGATGCTGCGATCGCAGTTTAAGTGAGATCCATCAGTGAATCGCTTCCTGAGGGCCTCCTGGGACATGGGAGAGCGCATCTCAATCTGCGCAGGGCCCAGACATAGCACCGGCGCCCTCTCTTACTGAGCGCAACGATGTTTGAGGACAAGGACCGTGCGCGGAGGCTGTGGCATTTGTCTAGGTATTCTGACGGCTCCCGACCTTGCCACGCGCTCAGATCTGGCCACTACATGAATTTGGCTGCCCAGGCGGGGCAAGGCGAAAAACTACTCATGCGACTCACTGAAAATGATGCTTGAGATTTGTTTCTGTTGCACAAGTCATGTGGTCAAAATGTGCGGGAGCTCGCTCAGAGCACATGTTTATGGTTCATCCACAGCCTGCATGTAGACAAGCAGCATGTCTGCATTGGGTGTGGCCTGGGAGAAGCCATGATTTGATGCTCGACCAGTGGCAACGCAGTGCCTGTGCTGTCACGCACAGCGCGAGACAAATGCGGCAAACCCCAAGGGTTTTGTCCTTCGCGGGTTATGGTCACGGGGCGAACGCTGCGCACGGTTTGCTTCGTTTGCTTGAGCCTTTCCTTTGTCACCAGCTCTTTCCTGGGCTGTCCTGCTGATCCTAGCATCCGGGAAGAATCTCAACGACGCACCAAAGCACTTCTTGTGGGACTTGTGCTGGAGTCAAAACGAGAGGACCTATACGAAATGATTACAGCGCTTATTGAAGAAAACACAGGCACTGCCAGCATTGTGCACGTGCCTTCCCAAGCATCTGGCTATGCAACCTCTCCACAACTGCCTTGTGCCCCGGGCATCTTGACCACAGAGTTCTTGCAGCTGCTGTGGATCTGGCGGAAAGATGCGGATGCAGAGCAGGCCAGCAGCATCTTGCTGCGAAGCGACCGACACTTTGCCTTCCTGCGCATCAGCCCTTGGAACAACATCTTAGACTTGGGATACGGGCTGAGCTTTGCAGCTGGCCAGGCCCTGTGTTCGCTCGTCCCCCAGGAGGACGTTTTGGGCGCCGCTCGTCTTCATGGTGCTTGGCCAGGTTCCATTCCCACTGAGGCGCGAAAGCTCCGTCTTTGCCAATCCGCTTGCCTTGGAGAGGCATCTTTTTAGTAGTTGTTTTTTCAGTTTCAAGTCTCTTGTTTTGATTTCTCCGCTTTTGGCTTCTTGGCTTTTCGGCATTTCGGCTTCTTGGCTTTGCATGTTTGGATATATACATGCCTTGCATGTATGCATGTATGCATGCATGTGTGCATGCATGTAATGTGATGTAATGTAATGTAATGTACTGTAATACAATGTAATGTAATGCGATGCGATGTAATGTAATGAAATGTATTTACACGCTGACGCGACACAGCCGGCCACCGGGCACCTTGCCCTGCCCGTTCTGTCACTTCCCTTTCCGGTAAGTCCGATGAGTAGATGTTAAGATTTACAAAGTCTAAAAACCTTGAGATTCTAAGGGTCTCAGATTTGAAGACTTTTGGAATTTAAGGTTTCAATGGTTTAAGAATTAAGGTTTTAAGATTCAAAGATTTAAGGTTTTTGAAGGTTATAACAGCCAGGCCATTGCCCAGCCACTTTCCATCCACTATCAGATTTCGAAGGCTTCAAGATTTTAGTTTTTGTGAAGTTTTTCAGATTTGGCGACTTTCGGAATTTAAGATTTTAAGATCTTAAGATGTCAAGACTTCAAAATTTCAAGATTAAGAGTTTAAGGAATTTAGAATATAGCCCGGATTGAAGGACTTTTATTATATTTTACTTGTTTATGAATTTATGATTTTCAGATTGCAATAGTTCGAGATTTAAAGAATTTAAGTTTTTGAAGCTTTTAAGATTCTGAGACTTTAAGATTTTGAGAGTTTCGGAATTTCATATTTTAAGATTTTAACATCTGAAGATTCAAAGACATGAGGGTTTCTGTCACTTCCCTTTCCTGTAAGTCCGATGAGTAGATGTTAAGATTTCAATATTCTAAACACTTTGAGATTCTAAGGGTCTCAGATTTGAAGACTTTTGGAATTTAAGGTTTCAATGGTTTAAGAATTAAGGTTTTAAGATTCAAAGATTTAAGGTTTTTGAAGGTTATAACAGCCAGGCCATTGCCCAGCCATTTTCCATCCATTATCAGATTTCGAAGGCTTCAAGATTTTATTTTTTGTGACATTTTCAGATTTGGCGACTTTCGGAATTTAAGATTTTAAGATCTTAAGATGTCAAGACTTCAAAATTTCAAGATTAAGAGTTCAAGGAATTTAGAATATAGCCCGGATTGAAGGAATTTTGTTATATTTTACTTGTTTATGAATTTAAGATTTTCAGATTGTGAGACTTTAAGATTTTGAGAGTTTCGGAATTTCATATTTTAAGATTTTAACATCTGAAGATTCAACGACATGAGGGTTTTAAGAAGTCAAGATTCGAAGACTTGAGGATGTTTATATTTTCAGGTTGCAAGATTCTATCTTCTAAGGTTGTAATTTTAAGATCTTAAGGTTTCAAGATTTCAATAATTCAAGATTAAAAGTTTAAGAAAGTTACAATATAGCCCGGATTGAAGGAATGTAATATTTTAATAATTTAAGATTTTCAGATTTCAATTGTTCGAGGTTTAAAGATTTTAAGTGTTTAAAGCTTTTTAAGATTCTGAGATTTTAAGATTGTAAGACTTTAGGAATTTCATATTTTAAGAGTTTAAGATCTCAAGATTCTAAGACATAAGGGTTTTAAGATTTCAAGATTCGAAGACTTTAGGATGTTTTTATATTTTCAGATTGTAAGATTCTAAGTTCGAAGATTTTAAGATCTCGAGATTCTAAGATTGATTGTTAGATTTTAATTTAAGATTTTACTTTAGGATTTTGAGATTTCAATCCAGGCCATTTTTCCATCCATTTTTCATCCACTTTAAGATTTTAAGATTTTCAGGTTGCACGTTTTCGGCAAAGTTGGCCCGACTTAGGGGACAACATCCCCAGCATCCCCCGAGACTTTAGGATGTTTCTATATTTTCAGATTTTAAGCTTTAGGATTTTGAGATTTCAATCCAGGCCATTTTCCATCCATTTTCCATCCACTTTAAGATTTTAAGATTTTCAGGTTGCACGTTTTCGGCAAAGTTGGCCCGGCTTAGGGGACAACATCCCCAGCATCCCCCGAGACTTTAGGATGTTTTTATATTTTCAGATTTTAAGATTCTAAGTTCGAAGATTTTAAGATCTCGAGATTCTAAGATTGATTGTTAGATTTTAATTTAAGATTTTAAGAATCTAAGACTTTAGGATTTTGAGATTTCAATCCAGGCCATTTTCCATCCATTTTCCATCCACTTTAAGATTTTAAGATTTTCAGGTTGCACGTTTTCGGCAAAGTTGGCCCGACTTCGGGGACAACATCCCCAGCATCCCCCGCATCACCGGCATCATCCGCATCAATGTCCGCCAAGGATGCGGATGATGCAGGTGATGCCGGGGATGCTGTCCACTATGGGCACCCCCCAAAAAACACTCGTTTTTTGACTCCGCGGGGAGATGCTCAAAAAGCCGCCAAAAATCGCCTGAACAAATCCGGAAATCCTTCGCCCCTTATAAGGTATAGCGCATGGTCGGCTCATGGTCGGCAGTGGTCGGCGGCACAGGGCGGCCGGCCCTATACCTGAAGGTAGGCCCTCCGGGCCTAGGCCTTCGGCCGTATCACGGACCACGGGGTCTGAAGCCCCCGGTGGCCGGATTTACACGCTGACGCGACACAGCCGGCCACCGGGCACCTTGCCCTGCCCGTTCTGTCACTTCCCTTTCCTGTAAGTCCGATGAGTAGATGTTAAGATCTTAAAATTCTAAAAACTTTGAGATTCTAAGGGTCTCAGATTTGAAGACTTTCGGAATTTAAGGTTTCAATGGTTGAAGAATTAAGGTTTTAAGATTCAACGATTTAAGGTTTTTGAAGGTTATAACAGCCAGGCCATTGCCCAGCCATTTTCCATCCAAGGCTTTAAGATTCTATTTTTTGTGAGATTTTCAGATTTGGCGACTTTCGGAATTTAAGATTTTAAGATCTTAAGATGTCAAGACTTCAAAATTTGAAGGTTAAGAGGTTAAGGAATTTAGAACATTGCCCGGATTGAAGGAATTTTATTATATTTTCCTTGTTTATGAATTTAAGATTTTCAGATTGCAATAGTTCGAGATTTAAAGAATTTAAGTTTTTGAGGCTTTTAAGATTCTGAGATTTTCAGATTTTGAGAATTTAGGAGTTTCATATTTTAAGATTTTAACATCTGAAGATTCAAAGACATGAGGGTTTCTGTCACTTCCCTTTCCTGTAAGTCCGATGAGTAGATGTTAAGATTTCAAAATTCTAAAAACTTTGAGATTCTAAGGGTCTCAGATTTGAAGACTTTCGGAATTTAAGGTTTCAATGGTTGAAGAATTAAGGTTTTAAGATTCGAAGATTTAAGGCTTTTGAAGGTTATAACAGCCAGGCCATTGCCCAGCCATTTACCATCCATTATCAGATTTCGAAGGCTTTAAGATTCTATTTTTTGTGAGATTTTCAGATTTGGCGACTTTCGGAATTTAAGATTTTAAGATCTTAAGATGTCAAGACTTCAAAATTTGAAGATTAAGAGGTTAAGGAATTTAGAATAATATAGCCCGTATTGAAGGAATTTTATTGTATTTGACTTGTTTATGAATTTAAGATTTTCATACTGCAATAGTTCGAGATTTAAAGAATTTAAGTTTTTGAAGCTTTTAAGATTCTGAGATTTTCAGACTTTGAGAGTTTAGGAATTTCATATTTTATGATTTTAACATCTGAAGATTCAAAGACATGAGGGTTTCTGTCACTTCCCTTTCCTGTAAGTCCGATGAGTAGAGGTTAAGATTTTAAAATTCTAAAAACTTTGAGATTCTAAGGGTCTCAGATTTGAAGACTTTCGGAATTTAAGGTTTCAATGGTTTAAGAATTAAGGTTCTAAGATTTCATATTTTAAGAGTTTAAGATCTCAAGATTCTAAGACATAAGGTTTTTAAGATTTCAAGATTCGAAGACTTTAGGAAGTTTTTATATTTTTAGATTTTAAGATTCTAAGTTCTAAGATTTTAAGATCTTGAGATTCAGATTTCAATCCAGGCCATTTTCCATCCATTTCCATCCACTTTAGATTTTAAGATTTTCAGGTTGCACGTTTTCGGCAAAATTGGCCCGACTTAGGGGACAACATCCCCAGC